CTGGACCGAATGGTACCAAGCATTACCCAGGGCCTTGCATGTCTAAGTGATTATGTAATTCTAATTTAGAATTTAAATGGAGAGTTTGTGACTGTGCCCGATAAAGGTTAGACACTGCCCTTTGTAAAACTGAACGTTTCTAAATCAAGGACCCACTGAGGTGCAACAGCGACCAGAAAAGTTACATAATCTAATCCTTCTATACTGGCTAAGTTTAAAATACAGGAGGGTTCTAAAATTTACATATTCCAATCAACTGCTGGTGCTGGGCGATTTTGGACCTTATATCCCAATAGTACTTTTGATAGCAGCTTCATTTATAATACCTAAAGTGTGAGTTTATAGCAGATGTTTTTAAAAGTTATAAAATCGACATTTCAAAAGCGACACCACTTTGCTCAAAACTACAAATTTCCAGAAGTGGGCGGATGTAGCAACATGAGCATTTACAGCATGAATGGGCCTACGGCACCTCCTCAGTGCAAGAAGGCTACCGCTTCCCTATCTCCTTTGTTACAAGACAAACAAGACAAACTACATTGTTATAAACCCTGCTACATTATAATTGGGCCTAATTATCATTAGCGGTTACACTTTCAAGAAATTAAGGAAAAATTATTAGATTTTATGCTGCAAATATTAAGAATGAATGTGTAAGGGAACATCCTAGACCAGTGTTTCCCAACCTTTCTGATGCCACGGATCCCCTGTACCGAATGTTACTTGACCATGGGCCCCATAAAACCCAAAATGAAAATTTTTTATATTTTACATATAATAAAAGTGAAACAATAACTTACAATTTTACAACACTAAATGTGTCATTTATGACAATAAACTACTGTTACAAATGGAGCTTATTCGGAAGATCATGAACATATCAATTAGGCCTAATATAATGAATTTAACACTCACCTAATCAACAATCCACACTTTAACTACCGATCCATATCTAAATAAGATTGTAAACAAATTGAAAATCAGAAGTTTCGTTGTGAACTCAATTATTTGAACAAGAGCAGAAAAACTGAATATTAAACCGAGAAGAAAACACTTGTATAATATTATAAAAATCCACCGCACAAAAACTAAAGACACACAGGTTGTTCGCTCTGCCACTGAAATGAATAAGAAACGTGGTCAATAGTCCCAGCTTCAGTCCCAACCAAAGAGGGATGGATTTGGTGGGGGTGGAGGGGGAGAATGGTCAGACAGCAGGTAAGAAGGTCAGCAGTCCACCCTGAAACACTGTTCTGAGGTGCAATGGGCCGACCAAAAGAAAATGTCCTTGGAAAAAGCTACACAAATCATTTGTTATTCACCTCTGCTTTACAAAGGGGAGAAGTAATGGTACCAACAGTCCCGTTAAATTTTACTTCAACCATGGGCCTCAAGAGCCAGAGATATACATTGCAAATATCCCAGGTGTGAGAAACATGATAAACTATCCCGCGGACCCCTTTTGAATTACTCGCGGACCCGGACCACAGGTTGGGAACCACTGGCCTAGATCGACCCTTGCATCACGAGCTTCAATGTTCTATTGTACATTATAAATATTACACTACGCCATCTACATTGACTGGAGACTTGATATCATTTTGGCAAGCTGAGGTTTTTTAACCTGGATGAGATAAAACGGATTTCATGTGTCCATCTGTCAATCCAGATCGACTTTTAATATCACTGTTGCTCTTACATGCATTTGCTGCCAAAGATCACAACTAATCTTACATAGGAAATTTTTGTTACAGCAAACATGAATATAAATCCTGCGGTCCTGTTCGGGTTAGTACTGCAATGGAAATTAATTCCATTTGCAAATTATCCTCAAACCTTCTCAATGTTCACCTGCAAAGGAAAAAGTATGCAACAACATAAATCCCAGTTCCATAATTTCGAGGTTCCTGGAATCATTTTAGCTCCTCTTGCAGCAGAAAAATGCTCAACATTCTTGAACACTATCAGGGATATAGTTTCTAGTGATTTCTGGTGCAGAAAGTGAATAAAGTTATGCTCCTTTAATTGATCTTCCCACAACTGAAATGTATGTAACTTTAAAAGCCTTGATGCTGTCAGACATCTCTGTAATGACTTCATCTTACCCTTGCAGCTCTCTGTTAAGGAGAGACAGAGCCAACACTTTTTCAACAAAATTCCACCTCCTGCGCTTAGGCTTCTGTCTAATGTTTCGAAACATTGGTACAAAAAATCTGGTAGCCTCTAAACTGAAAGAAGATGAAAGACTCTGCATCAGTGGATCACTGTCCACATCACAGAGCTTTTTAGCTTCTTTCCCTTATATATATATATATATATATTTTTTTTTTACTTTTAGTTTACAGAGTGCACTCTCTTTATTCCGAATATGTTCATATAATTTCCTTCCTCTCAGCAACAACTCTGAAAGTGAAGCCAAATTAAGTTTTTTTTTTAGCAGAGAATGCTTTGCCCTAGGCTTTGAGGAAGAACTCTGACAATTGATATGTCAGAGTTCTCCATCAGAAGCATTTATATTTACAGAACTTAGGAGAAGAGAGGTTTCTTTCACTGCAAAGGTGTTGGCTAATGTTGGTGGTGGTTGGACTCAGACATCTTAGAGGAAGTGGAAGGACCGTCTGCATGTATAGGAATAGGAGTTACAGTGGAGTGCACCATTGTTTTGCTGTAAGGGGTGGGAGTTATAACTGAGGGCGATGGGACAGGAGATTGTGGGCATGACTGTGAAGCAGTATCTGAGTCACATGGAACTGCCACTCTGTTCAGGTATACCTTTCCAGCTGCAGTGAAATCACTGTCCAGGAAATGTTTGCTGCACAAATATGTATTGTTCAGCTTTCTAGCAGAATCAATTGTGCAGGATATTCCAACCTTTCCTGCCCATACCACAGACCTGTAAAAGTAGAACAAATAGACTCGAAACCTAGAAATAATGCTTCAGTAAACATTACAAACTTGGTACATGTTCTAAATTTTTGGGTTATGTTGAATACATTGAAAACACACATACAGTAAACTTAATTTATTAATTGGATTAAGAAACACATAATAAAGTAATTACACCATGAATGAAAACAGACATAGCGTGCTGGATCATTTGGAAAGTTGAAGAATCTGATTCCTTGCATGCTGGATGACAAGCCCCCAGCAGCACGTTCTCCTTTTCATGTATTGTATTGTATTGTATTTATTGCACTCTCCAAGACATCCTTACATGGCCGAAGCCCTTGGATACAGAACCGGTCTCACAACAGGCCTGCTAAGTAGCAGGTAGTCGCTAGATAATATATATATACAACAATATTAACATGATATTAACTTAATACCCTTATATGTACTACAATTTCATCACATTTACAATATAATTACATCATAAGTTAAATATAAATAAATAAATAAATAACATAAACACTCAATAACAATCCTAGTTAAAATATTCATCCAAAGTATAATAAGATTTACGATTTAAAAAGGCATGTAAAGACACTCTAAATTGCTTAATATCACAGACCAATTCTTTAATCTTCAATGGAAGATGGTTAAAAAGTTTAATGCCAGAATAATAAGGCCCTTTCTGGTAAATTGTTAAATTTGCCTGAGGACAATAGAGATCAAAATTATGCATCATTTTCAGGCCATGAATTTGCATTGACTTATGATACAAGCCCATATTATTCACAACAAACATCAATAATGAGAAAATATAATGCGACTGCAACGGCAATATTCTCCATTCCCTAAATGCCTCTCTACAAGGGTCTCTAGGTCTCAACCCACTCATGACTCTAATTATACTCTTTTGAATTCTCAAAATATGCACACTAAGGGGTGAATTACCCCAAAAAATAATTCCATAGCTCAATAGTGAATGAAAGTAGGAATAATACACCATTTTTAATGTCTCAATGGGCAAGATGGGTTTAATCACCCTCATTGAATAACAAGCCTTACATAATTTAGGCCTAAGCAGAGTTATATGAGCTTTCCAAGTGCACGATCTTTCTATAATAATCCCCCAAAATTTCATGTTTATATCATTAAAATCCCATTATTACAATATCGAATAGCAGTTACATTATTCGTTCTAGGCTTTGTCTCAAATTGAACATGTTTAGTTTTATTAAAATTTAAGGTCAACCTGTTTGTATTAAACCACTCATTAAGACAAGTGAAAGAGGTATTAACATCTTTACTATACTGGCTATTATTCCAATTGCTAATGACTAAGCTTGTATCATCTGCATACAATACTGATTTAACTGAATCGTTGAAAATTGTGGGGAGATCATTTATATAAAAAAGAAAAAGAAGCGGACCAAGGACGGACCCTTGTGGGACTCCGTATCTTACAGTATCCCAGTTAGATCTAGCAGCATGATCAAGGTCAGTGCTGGCTATTAATACTCTCTGTTTTCTGTCTGATAAATAGGATGTGATCAGGTCGAGAAATTTGCCTCGTATTCCATAAAATTGAAGTTTCTTCAATAAAATCTCATGGTTGACACTGTCAAATGCCTTCTTTAAGTCACAAAAGATTCCACCTACAATTTTCCGCTTATTTAATGTTTATACTGCAAGAAGCAATACAAAAATTAAAACATCATCACGGTACTCTTAGAACTCCTTCACATTCTACAGACAATCTCTGGGCTAAACTGAAAGTTGCAGAACCTATCATAAAACAAATATCGTTTAGATGACAGTTCATCATAAACTCAAAAATTTTGGGCTTAAAAGAATTCCATATATTTCTAATTTCATTTGTGGTAGTAAGCATAATATTCACATGCACAAATACTATGTTTATATGGAGATGTAACTTCGTTCGCAAATGTCTACTTCCGTTTCGCAACCACCTCAAATCAAAATTCGTACCTAATAATTTGCATATAATGAAGCACAAGAAACGCATTTAATTGCGGGAATTCAAATTGGTTTGTGTAGGCTCTCTGATTGGTCGAGATCTGTGCGTAGAGGCAGTAGTTTCCGTGTTTCCCTTTCTCCTGCGCCACTTTCCACCCCTTGCGTATGATTAACGTCAGTTGCGGGAAGAGTTTGATTAGTATGTTAGCGTGTATTGTTTATAAAGTGTATTTTAGGGGGCAAAAAATATGTCAGACCTTGAAATGTTGCAGTTGAAACAGTCCATCCACAAAGAACTGATAGAAATAAACGTAATTCTGGAAAAACTGTAAGTAATGTAATTACCCATGATTTAACCTAGTTGTACGGGTCTCGTGTATAAAGTAAAATTCAATTGTAGAAGTAGGATAACATGTTATAAAACAGTGATTTCTTGACGTAAATTTTATGTACCTTGTCTTTTTGTTTTAGTTCACTGGAACTAACTGAAGTTACGAGACTTTCACAACATAATGGTAGGCTTGGAATAGCTGTGAAGAAGGTGAGAAAGAGTTTTGGATGGAAACGAACGCGGCTGTGGTGGTGGTGGTCATAGTAGTAATAGCAACAGCAGTAGCAACAGCAGTAGTAGTAGTAGTAGCAGCAGCAGCAACAGCAGTAGCAGTAGTAGTAGTAGTAGTAGTAGTAGTAGTAGTAATCGAAGTGTAGCATATGCATTGAAATCGTTTTACATTTTACAGTTAGGGAAGTGGTGCATGGCAATTGTCAAGAAGAATTCTTCAGGATTATGCATTTATTATAAAAGAGCTTGGTATGTGCTGATTGCAGTCTTGGGTTAAATTCAATCAGTTAAAAATTATATGTTTGTTAGCAGTTGATAAAATGATGGCATCATATCTTACAACATTCAAAAGTCAGCAGTTCATATTGCTTAATTTCAGGTGTTTTAAATCATAATGCACTGATCTACTATTATACTTCAAAATTACTTTTATTTCTCTAGTAGGTTGAGTGTCAGGGCCACGCCATAGCTCAAGCAGTTAGCTGCTGGCTTCCTACCGTGGCAGCCCGGGTTCGATCCCGGGTCTGGTCAAGTGGGATTTGTGGTGGACAAAGTGGCGCTGGGGCAGGTTTTCCCAAAGTACTTTGGTTACCCCTGCCAATCTTCAATCCACCAATTGCTCCACAATCACCTTCACCTATCATATGGGGCTAGTACAATAGGCCAGAAGTGGCTGTAGTGCAAGGGACTTAGTCTCATCCCACTTCATTCATTCATCAGTAATCTGTCATACAACAGGTCCACAATCTCTTCCAAAACAGTTCCTCCACTTAATGTGCTCGTGTTCTGGTCGCATACATGGTATCTCTGTTTTTGGAAAGAGACTATCCAGGAGAAGTGATAATGTGGTAGTTTTTCCATTTGCTTTCTGCATCGCAGTACAACAGCCATTGAAACCACTCTGGTCACGCCTGTTACTATACGATCTTGAACCATCCCCCTAGCAATAAAAAAAAAAAGATGGTGTCACTGCTTAGAAGTGTCATCAAGAGTATGATCTTTTGGTATGTGATGCCGTGTAGTTTGGTAGGCCAGACTTCATAGTGTTACAGTGACTCACATGAGGGAGCCATGCTTTTAAGTTTTTCTTTGTGTGAAAAATAAACCATGTTGAATAAACCTTTAACATTAATATTGCAGGGATGCATTCTTAGCTTTTATAACTTATAATTTCACATTATAAAAACTTTATGACTTTAATTATATAGCATATCTTTCATATAAAATTAGAAAGGGAAAGTTGTCTGTGTTTAATTAAGCACTACGCCATGAAGATGCATGGGGGAGTAGATGTATAGACCCACACTTTCTTGACCTGTGGATTAGTTGTACGAGAGTGGTCAGCTTCACACCCTGGCTGCTTTACCCCTGGGGAAAGAGCCCTTAGTGCCCATTGGATAGGAGGCTGGGTGGGCTCCAGATTGAGTCTGGACAATGTGGAGAGGAGATAATTCTTGCCCTTACTGGAACTCCAACTCTGATCCATTGACCATCCAGCCCATAGCGTCACAATACCAACTGTGCTATCCCAGCTCCCATATCCTTCATATACCAGTAATTAAATATATTTTGACCATGTCATTTTTAAAGCAGAGCTGCAAGTCAAGTTCCACTGTTTCTGATCAGTCCATATTTCTATCACTCAGTCTTCTCCATATGTAAATGTGAAGCAGTTAACTTTGTCAGCACTATTCAGAATTGTTGTAACTGCACAGCCCGAAAAGAAGTGCTACCAGCTACCAGCGTTCTCCTGCTGCACTCTGGCTTCAATTTGATGAATGACTAACAAGAATACAATCTTATAGGCTGTGATGCTGTGTAGTTCAGAGACATTGTGATGTTTCGGAGGCATGTATTGGCTCTATTTTCAGGGTCAAAGAGTAAGCCAAGCAAGAAACCAGCAGAAACAGGTTGCAAGCTTGGATACAGTTTTATTATGTAAAAACTATAAGGACTAGTAACTGTACGCAGAAACCAGCAGGAATGTGTAGTCAATATTCTGTCAAGTTGTGCCCTAACAATGACCGGAAATAAGATTGTTTTGCAAAATCATAAAACACATGATTCTAAGGAACATGAGATAAGTCTTGCTGATGATAACGTGTTAACTAATGCAGGTTTTGGTGATGTAAAACTTGTGAATGACAATTTTAGATATATCTCAGATGTACTGAATGTACCAAAATTCTCTACAAGGTTATGATTGTGTTATTCACCAAAGACTGTTGCAACTTATATGATTTTGAGGAAACAGGCAAAGTTCTTGCCAAAGCATATCCCAAAAATGGGATTTATTGTTTAAATACCAAAGTCAACTTAACCCAATCTGAAAATATTGCAACTAAAGATAAGATTAATACCAAAGAAAATAACAGGTTATGGGTCCAGGATCGTATTATTGATAAGTATAAATAGTAAAAAGTGAAAGTCTTAATAAAGCAGGGTTAGATTGAACACTGATTCTTACTTATCATTTGATCCACGTAGAAGTAACAAAAATAACAAATCTGCACTTTGCATGGAATTTGGTAGGAAGGTCACATTACTGGAGATCACCCAGCGACTAACCACTTGAGCTATGGCGCGGCCAACTGACCATCCTAAATACTGTATAATGAGCACTGGGCCACAGAGGATGCCACTCATTGCTCTCCACTCCTGCCCTTCAAACACAAGACAGGGTTACAATTTTAATCTTCATCTCTACCTTCATACGTATATTCCAACACTGAAGTGTTGTGAGCTTTTTTTGTGTAGGATGAATAACAACATATTTTGATTTAAAATGATGGAGATTTGTGGAATATTTGATATTTTAAAAATATGAACTGTAACGGTAAAAGGTAAAAGCTGTCCCTATAACAGGCCGTGAAGGCCCATGGGGTTGAGATGTCGAGGCTCCCACATTTTCTAGACAATTGGATCACAGATGGCAGTGAGGTTGTTAGCCTTACGCACTAGCCACCCTTTACCCCCCAGGAAGATCCCTGGTACTTGTTTATGTTATAAGCTGAGTTAACCCCAGGGTCATAGTACAGCTGGAAGGATTAGGTAAGCTGGAAAAAAATCCACCTCATCAGGACTCAAACCCACGATCTTCTGGCTTGTAGCATAGTGCCTCAACCAACTATGCTACTGCGTAAATATATGAAATGTTGTCAAAGTAATTTTTATCTAAAAGGAAAAGAGCTATATGGCAAATGAATGACATATTTTTGATTTGATATTGGTTTGGCAAAATGACGTTGTTGTGCACATGAAATTCAGATGGTAGGAAGTATTAAGAAATTATTTATGAAGCATTTGTGTGTGTGCATTTGTTTTTTTATAGTCATTAAATGTAGTTATGTGTGTGTCACAATCTTCCGGGATGGGATGCCGTGTAATCTTGTAGATAGGTACCAACATTTCAGAGGAACCCACTGTCTCGATCTTCAGAGTAAGAGGATCATGATTTTAACATTCACAGACATGTGGTTTACTGCCAGATAGTAACTGACCATCCTAATTAAAATTTTAAATTCACTTAGTGGGGGGTGTAGTCAAACTGGATCCACTCGGCACGGCGGCCACTGATTGGCCTATTGTAGCCTGCCCCGGGTGATTATGATGATGGAGAATTTGGTGGAATGAAGATTGGCAGGGGGAACCGAAGTACTCGGAGAAAACCCGCCCCAGTGCCAGCGACTAACCGCTTGAGCTATGGCGCAGCAAACTGACCATCCTAAATACTGTATAATGAGCACTGATCCACAAAGGAGGCCACTCATTCTTCTCCACCCTGCCCTTCAAACACAAGACAGGGTTACAATTTTAACCTTTATGAACCCTCAGCTCATCTATTGCTATATCAGAAGGGAACTTACTATATGGGTATCAAGGTATTTAATAATCTTCCTTTATACCGTATTTACGCATGTATAGGCCGCACATTTTTTGACAAAAATTGAAGAGTAAAAACTGGGGTGCGGCTTATATTCGAAATATTGGAAATCACACTTCATTTAAAAAAATTATATTCATAATTAGTAATACAGGGTGTTCTACTCCTGAAATAATATTCCAAGAAAATTATTTTTTCTATAATTTCTGTCTGAAAATTGTGCTGTGGCCTATACAAGCACGCGGCCTATACATGCGTAAATATGGTACTTAAAGCAATTATACAATAATTGCAAGGGTTTTAAATCAGCTTTGAGGGATATTTTGTGTTGCCATTCATTTTATATATTGGAAGAATATTTTGATTTTGAATATGATAAAAATAAAGATATAATTTCTTTGTAATAAGTGATTAATCATACATAGTTTTCAATATTAGGTTTCTAGTATTGTTTTTGTGCCCATATATGTTATGATACTGTATAGTGCTGCTTGACTATATGTATGTTTGTACTGTTTTTCCTTTTCTATTGGTTATGACAATTTCCACACTTTGTATGGATCTATGGGAATATGTGTATATGTATGTATGTATGTATGTATGTATGTACACCAAGTTAGGCATGTAATGTTTATTATCCATAAGCCAGTAGTCTGTATTTTGTCTTGTTTCAGGCAAAGGAATCATTTGCTGCTCTGAATATCCAGGTTGAGAATTCAGGAGAAAAAGGAGAGGTACATCCAAAAGATTAAGAAAACAAGTTTAGAAATTTATATAAATGCAGGAGAAATGTACTGAGAAATTAATAAATTATTTACTGCCACATACAAGGTGTTTTAAAAAATTTAACATTCTGAACTTAACATTTTCTTTACAACTTAAATGTTCCAACTTTTTTTGAGCCTGGAGTTCTTAAAATCCTCTATAAAATATTTGTATCAAACATACTGAGCCTGTGAGTAAGAGGAATTTTTGTAAATGACTGATATTTTAAACCATATTTTTTTAGTCCTGGTGGTAATTGTTTTCAGGAATATTAACCTTTCAACTTCAGGTCTTCAAGCTCTGGTATTTGTTCAGTATGTTTCTCCTGTTTTATGTATTACATTTGTCGTTTATTAGAAAATACATCAACATAAGCCTGTTGACCAAGTGCTGAAAGACAGTGTTTGATCTTTCCAATGGTGAAGTACACAGAACAATGCAGAATATTTTATGTGAATGACTGTTTTGTAAGGCGATTAAAAAAAGTGGGTATGAAACTGAAAATACACAAAAATATAAACAAGATGTGAACGTTAAAATCAAGTATGGACATGGTGCAGCCCTCATTCTGCTCCAGAAGATAAAGTTCTTCTGGACTGGTGATACATCTGTGCCAGGAATTCATTCAGGAGTACATTTTGCAGATCTGATGTACCCACTGATCTGAAGAGATATCAGATGGAATTTTCTAGCCCATACAAGCATTCAGATTCTTCATTGTAGAGTTCATACTAAGAAAGTTGCTCACTTCTGATGTCTTTAAAGTTGATGATGTTCTGTTGCCATTCCTGTATATTACATAAATGCATACTTCACTAAACTCATATTACAGTTTTATAATTTTTGCAGTTTTTGTAATTATTTCTTATAGCAGAGAAAATGTATATTTAATATATAATTTCTTTATCTTATAATAGTTATCCCTTATGTACAGTTTATAACTCTTTCCTTGGTACAAGAAAGTATCCTGGCCTATTTTTGATACACGGTTGATTTTCAGAGTTTGGATTCAGTGAGCCAAGCGTAGTTCTGTGGCTTACGATCAGCTGATGGGTTGATCATCACATTGATGATACTGGGTACATCTTTCACCTAAAACAAACAATATTTTTAAACTATACCTTCACATTCTGACATCCTCAGCTTCTGTGAATAAAATATTCTATTATGACTGATTAATTCATAATGCAAAGGCAAAATGCACGTCCTGTTTAAAATGAGGCAACTTGTAATTTGTACCTTTGAAGTTACCACCTGCATGAAACATGTCTGTTTTGAAGTTATCACAGCGGTACTTATATATTTTACCATGGATACATGGATGCAAAATGAGGAGCAAGGGGAATTTGTCTCTGAAATATAAACAAACAAAAGCTCTAGGTTCAAAATCAAGTACAATATTTTTATACACACTGCAACAAAGGACTTTCATTTATACCTCTTCTAAAGAAGGTAAAGTTGTCCCTATGCTTAACTAATTAAGCATGCTGTGAAGACATATGGGGGAGTGATGTATAGACCCACATTTCCTTGAGTGGTCAGTTTGACACCCCAGCCGCTTTAATCCCCACAGGGAAAGAGTCCATGAGACCCATTGGATAGAAGGCTGGGTGGGCCCCAGAGCCAGTCTGGATGACACAGAGAAGAGAAAATTCTTGACTCTACTGGGACTCAAATTCTAACCCCTCCCTCATCCAGTGTGTAGCCAGTTGTTTATACCTCTTGTACATATACAAAACCCTCAGAAATTAGAGTAACATTTTAGTAACAGAGAAATAGTAGTTTCCATTGCAGAGTCATTACTTTCCTAACTCTCTTTGCACTATCATTACCACATTTATGCTTTGAGATTATAGTACTTTGAAGACTACTGTCTTCAGGGATGCAACACTGTATAGCCCAGTAAAGTTCCTTATGTTTCATAGCAGTGAACTACCATCCTGAAAATAGGGGTAATAAAGTCTTGTGAAATGTTAGTGAACTTCTACTGAATTACATCCCGTAATTAATACTGTTCATTATCACTACTGTGACATTCATCACTCCAATCTAATACAGTAGTTTATAAAAAAGGAAAGTCATTCTGTGTTTGTAAAGGGCAAGGAATCACAGCATCATTGTGAGGCTGGATGGGAGGCGGGTACATCATCTCAGCTGTGCACTCATCTATGCATTAGATCTGTACATATGCATATGCTGACCTGTGAGTAATAAAAATTGAACCCCATGCTGTATAAAATAGGTGACAAAATATAAGTCTTCTAAAATCAAAACCATTTTAATTTAACTTGTGTTGAACCTGGATTACTGTATACCTTGAAAAGTTCTGTGCAGATAATTAAATTGTGCTCTTCATAAACCTGCAGTTCTTACTCATAACAGCAGTATGTTCATATGGTAAGGAAATACAATATAAAACAGAGCATTAAACATTAATTAATCAGTTCCAAACTTTTAATATAATGATGCATTATTTTTGGGAGAAGACTTTTGCAACATGTCTGTAGATAAGTTCAAAAATAAATTTGCACCATTTTAAATCTTTCATTTCATGCTTATCTTCCTTCGATGCTGCAGACTGAATATTATGTCAGTGAACTGTAATATGGTGTTGTTTGGTTAGAGTTTGCTGCTTGAACTATTCATACTCATACAGATCATATTGCCAGGCCTTGAGGTCAGGATTTGACTCCCAGTAGGGGCAAGAGATTTTTCTCTTTCTCTATACTGAACAGATTGGCTCTGGGGCTAACCCAGCCTCCTATACCATGGGTACTGGTGTCCATTTGATGGGAAAGTTGCAGAGGCATGAAGGTGATCGCTGACAAAGATTAAGAATGGTGTAACTGTGCTTATTATTCCCCCATACGTTTTTATGGTGTGCTGCTTAATTAATTAAGCCTAGGGATAAATATCCTGTTACCTGCAGACTTTGCTGAAGTGCACGTTGCAGTTGAGGAATGTCGACACAAAAGTGTCCCTTGATGTTGAACATTTCCATCATGCGCTCATAGTGGACATTTGTTGACAATGATGTTGGTGGTGTCCTGTTCATAGAGCATATTAAGGATTAAAGAATAACAGTCAAATGACAAACACAGACACATGCTTGCAGTGGAATTTGGTCATAAAACACGTTAACAGTTACACATTATTGTGTTCCTTTGCTTAAAGTGCATGTAATGTGTGCATAATGTGGAGGATGTTTGTCCATGTGTTATCTTTGAACTACTTTTCAACAAATTAAGTACTGTAGTCTACACTAAAAGTGATGAGGGAGGTAAATTTTTGTTTGTTTCATCCAAATATAACTATTACATCATATAATTCTCTAATTTCATCATCTTTTCTGAAAAATTGCTTTGTATATCTGTTTATGACTTATGACATCTCCCATTTGAAATGTTTATTGATATGTTGTCTATTCAGTGAAATACGAGGGCAAGTAATTTGTCTCTAGGCAGTACATCTGTACTGTTCATAAGCTCTGTTAGCAATTAATAAGTAGTGTAAACAGCAGCTTTGTCAGAATTATAATTTATGGCTATGTTGTGTGGTATCTCACTGCTGATTAGCTTTGAGACAACAAATTTCTGTCACCAATTAATTGAAGACCATCAAGATGATAAGATGTTCAAAATTACATTTAAGAAATACGATTTTCTCCGAAAATGACTATGCCTACCAACTCTGTTTATATTATTTTCACTGATGCCAAATCAGTACACACTTTCATAGGGGGTCATTCTTAGTCACGTCCAGCATCCTCCCCAACTTATAATATGCATACATTTTCAGAGACTGTTCAGTCACACAAAATAGTTTACTTGGAGCACTCTCCTGTCTACCTTGCACACAGAGGTTCCTTTTGTACATACTGAAAATATTTATGAAAGGGCTAATCCACCAGTACTAGGTTTTGTAGTAAGGACAAATACTAAGAGAGATAATGTAATGTATAAACATCTAGGGTCTACCTTATCATCATCATCAGTAATCTGTCAAGACGACAGGTCCACAGTCTCTTCCAAAACAGTTCCTCCATTTAATGCGATCTAGAGCTTTCTCCTTCAAATGACAGTATCCTCTTCTGTCCCCAAGGTCATCCAGCATCTTCTTACGTCTTCTTTCTCGTCTTCTTGTCACTTCTATCCACCCCTCTATCTTTCCTTCGATAACTTCTTTTAGGAGGCAGTTTCTACGTAAAACGTGACCAATCCAATTAGCCTTCCGTTCTCTTATTTCGTGTAGGATATTCCTCTGCTCACTGACTCTAATTAAAACTTCTTCATTTCTCACATAATCGGACCAACTGATCTTCTCCATCCTTCTCCAACACCACATTTCGAAACTTTCCAGATGTTTCTGATCTACTGCCCTAAGTGTCCATGTTTCAGCCCCATACAGAGCTATGCTCCAAATGTAGCATTTCACTAGTTTCTTCCTCAAATTTAAGTCCAATTTGCTGGTAAAAAGATTCTTCTTGTTGCTAAATGCAGCTTTTGCCATGGCAATCCTGGATTTAATTTCACTAGTACACCTTCCATCATCTGTTAACAAGCTACCCAAATATTTAAAACATTTCACATTCTCCAGTTGTTTTTGGTCTATCTTTATTGTGACTGGGGTTGGTTGTCTCGAAATTTTCATTACTTTTGTTTTCTCCACATTCATTTCCATGCCATAGCACCTTCCAATTTCAATTAGTCTATCAATCATGCCCTGTAGCACAGTTTCTTCCTTAGCCATTAACACAAGGTCATCTGCATATTTCACAGTTTGAATAATTTGCCCTCCTACTGTGAAGTCTCCGAGCTACCTTATAACACTGTGAAATATCCCTTTTTGAATATTCCTTTCACTCTTCTCTGGTTTTAGAATATGGTACCTTCAAAAACAAACTCCATGGTTTTAGTCTGCAAACAAACTATACCGACCGAGCCAACTCCGTGAAGTTAGTGCCAACTTTAGCGGATGGAGGGTGTCACGTGGTCAGTGCAACGAATCCCCACGCTGACCACTAGACCACAGAGGCGGTCTATGGTACCTTCATCAGATGCTTATTATGTGTGCCAGACACTGATTTTTAGTCATATATACTTAACAAAAATATGCTACCTGAATTGCAAATGATTGAAAATATGTGAGAGGGAACTTACACTTTCGTTACTTCACCTCCCTCTCGGATGCTCTGGAATGTTTCTTCATCAAAACCGCTGTAGATTCCGTTGTTGTTCACAATGATGATTATTATAGGCAAGTTGTACCTAGTTCATGATATGGGAGAGAAAAGCCAAAGGAATAAAAAAAAAATTTACTGTTGACAGAGGTGAACTTAGGGTCCAGACCTGTAACTTCAATGAGCGATTAAGGAGCAAAAGGCACATAATTATACAGATTTTTTATTCACTTTTATTCATTACTTAAACTTCTTTACAAATGACTGTATCAAATGTAGGCTGTTATATAGTGCAGTAAATTCCCAGTTAGCTTGCATGTATGGGGAACAGGGTATGCCAGTTACATGAGAACTCTCACAGGAACTGAAACAGAATATAATGCAATCATAAATTCCACTAACCTTGGCTGTAATAACATTTGTATGGGAAAGGACAGTAGGTAGTGCTGCCAGTGACACAACAGCATTACTGCATGGCAGGTGAATATATGTGCATCACAACTTTGTTTCTAAAGTAGCTTTATAAAAATAGTAAATTTTCACCAGTTCCTTGAGGATTCTGTACATGTAGATACCAGAAAACTGAGAGTTATTGTATTAGATAGGGCTAAGATGATTATAAATGGTGACTTCAGGTATAGCATGTCTGAATATAAAATAGTGTCTCACCATGGAACCTTGGGTTCAATCCTAAGTGATCTAATGTGAGATTAACAGTCGATGACATGGCACTGGAGCCTGTCTTTGTTTCCTTGGGGTTTTCTCTGCTAATTATCATTGCACCATTGCTCCATACACATCTGTCACTGTCCAGTGAGGTGTGCAATAGCCCTCACTAGGCAGCACTTTGTTATGTCCTTGGGCTTTAAGTATCTCTGACCCAGCACTAGACTGGATATGAGGTAAGGGAACTACAAGGTATTATCTTGAAGAAACTCAAGAGAAAGCCAAAACAGTATGGCTAGTTGTAAGATTTGAGGTTTTCACGGCAGTGACTATGAAGAAAGCAGACTTCTGGGATGTGGCACCATGTAGATATTGTGTGAACCGACTTCAGTTAACACAATATCTACAGGACGCCACATCCCAAAAGACTGCTTTTTTGTCAGTATGGCTATTCACCTGACAAGTTGCTTGTAGATAGAGCAAAAACTCTTGATAAGCTGACAGTTCATTCATCTAAAGTATAAATGCTAAATCCAAAACGTACAGTAAACTGTGTGCCTTGGGAAGTAGTGTTTGTGGCTTAATTTTACCCTCAGTAATTTCAATGTCCAAAATTGCAAATTTTCCCTAGTTGCCATGTACTGTAGGATAGTTAGTTAAAAGGTAAAGTTGTCCCTTGTGCTTAATTAATCAACCACCATGCCATGAAGATGTGGTGGGGAATGGGGGTATAGCTCCACCATTCTTGACCGCAGCACCAGATGGATGTGAGTGGTCAGCTTCATGCCCTGGCAACTTGACTCCTGGGGAAAGAACCTCTGGTAATCATTTTGTACGAGGGTAGGTGGGCACCAGAGCCAGTCTGGATGCTGTGGAGTAGAAAAAATCTCTTGCCCCTGCAAGGAATCGAGCCCTGGCTGTCCAAGCCCATAGCCCATTGCTGTACTGACTCTGCAGGACAGTTAGTTACTTCATATTATTTACCACATAAAGATATTTAAGTATATTTAGCAAATGACTATTTTCTATGTTATCACTCCTGATAGTGACTGACCTGAACATAGTTTCTATCTCCATGCCTGAAAATCCAAAGGCTGAGTCACCCTCTACACAGATTACTCTCTTGTCAGGTGCATAATCTTGACACCATAGTGCAGCAGCAACAGCAAAACCTGGCCCAACTCCCATAGTACCAAATGTGCCTGCAATTAAAGTTAATGTTCCAAATGTCACTACAAAACTTTTATATCCAGGTCACTGATTTATAATTACTTTTAGTAAGTGACAGATGAAAAGCACAATAGACCACTTTGGTTGCGGTGCAAGGGCCGAAAAAGGCCTACCCCTCATACATACATTCATTCAAGTGACAGATGAATCTTTCTTTCTTCATTGAACCCTCATTATGCGTATATAAACCTCATGTCAGGCACTATCAGAATGGAAAGTATTAAAAAACTGCATCTCTCACAGAGGGTTAATTCCTTATGAATAAGGAAGTAACAATTTTAGAAATGTATACAAGCATCCTGCATACTGCGGTTGATTAAAATTTCCTTCTTACTGGTAACCAACAAAGATAAAATATCTTCACCATCATTGCCATCAGAATATAGTGTTGGTTTTACCATTAAACACCAAAAAAAAGTACTTCAGTGGAGAAAAATGTCTACACTAAAGGTTAAACTCTATACAGCTTGTTGTGTATTGTTGAGCATGGTAAGTAGAAACAGTAAAAGACGATCCAAATATGTCCACCATTTCAGAGAGGAGGCAGCATTCTCCAGGCTTCTCCACTGCCTTCTGTCAGACGTCTGCTTAATTTCGGTCTTGCAGTTTTTAAACTGTATACTGAGTTCTCATGCATCTTCAGTCCTGATACATTTGTTAAAGGTTAGAAGAGTTGATATCCTCAACAGAGCCAGAAGCGACTCATGTTGTGAGAGGAATGCATTAGACAGGTATGTGGTCTGTTGTATTTTTGTTATTTTTATTTTCGTATAGGTTCTCCTCACTGATATTCTCTTAAGTTTTTATTTTCTGTCTTCACTAATTCTGGTCATTATGCTTCTTCAGAAAATATCTAATACTGATCTGTAGCATACCATCAAACTATAATTTTGCCTGTGGTTCTGTATGGGTGTGAAACTTGGTCTCTGACATTAAGGGAGGAACATAGACTGAGGGTGTTGAGAATATTTTGACCGAAGAGGGGTGACCGGAAGCTGGAGCAAACTGCATAATGAGGAGCTTCATAACTAGTACTCTTGTCCAAGTATAATTAGAATGATCAAGTCAAGGAGGATGAGGGGGGCAGGGCATGTAGTACGAATGGGGGAGAAAAGGAATGCATATAGGATATAGGGAAAGCCAGAAGGAAAGAGACCACTGGGGAAGACCAAGGCATAGGTGGGTGAACAATATTAAAAAGGACCTTAGAGAGAGGGGATGGGATGTTATGGATTGGATTGATCTGGCTCAGAATAGGGACCAGTGGAGGGCTCTTTTGAACATGGTAATGAACCTTTTGGTTCCATAAAATGCTGGGAAATTCTTGAGTAGCTGCAGATTTGGCTTCTCCTCAAGAAGGGCTCAGCTCCATAAGTAAGTATACCATCAAACAATATTATACTTACTTAACACTCAGGATACCATTTCAGTTAGTGAGTGTTGTTACTAAATTGAAAATTAGCATTTTGTAACCTAGTCATAAAAGAAACTCATCTTTATAGTAAACTGAAATGTTCATAAAAAATTAATTTCATATTCACAAACCTTATTACCATTCATTTATATAAGGCACAGTAAAGGTAGAGTTTTCATTGCATTTAAGCAGAAGACCATGACAATTCATGAGCATTGGATTTATAGATTTGTGCATTCTTAACTTCAGCACTAGGTGAAGGTGAGTGGTCGGCTTCAAATGCTGGCTGCTTTACCCCCCACTCCCCCAAGGGAAAGGGCTCCTGGTACCCACTGATGATGAAGCTGGATGGTCCCCAGAGCCACTCTGGGCATGGTAAAGAGAAAAATCTCTTCCCCCTGCTCAGGAATCAAACCCTGATTCCTCAGCTGTCCAGTCCATACCCCATTGCTATCCCGTCTCCTGATCTTTACATGGAATGAACATATTTTGTGATGTTAAACGTTTTACAGTTAATTGGGTGTTGCACAGTAGTGAGGTTCTGCTATTATGTTTAGGAGTATGCATTTAAGAAGGTTTGGAAAAGTATGAATCCATTAATCTGAGCTCATACCTGCATCCAGCCTGTGTTTTGGCAGTCTGTTGCGTAACATTGAGCGTCCAATATCCATTGTATTAGCTCCTTCACTAACTATAATACAGTCTGTAACATTTGAGAAGTCCAGTGAATTACATTATTTTCGATGCATGACAATCTAAAAATGACATCATATTAAGTACAAAATCTTGAAAATGGCCTAGCATACTGTCACAAATGTTGGAGGTATGAATAGAGAAGAGAGGAAAATGAAATGGGAACTAAAGTATATTCCACAAATACATCATTATGAAGTGCATACTATATTATTATTTCATAATTATAAATAAATCCAAACCTTGTTTCAACATTTCAACACATATAGATACAATGAATTTTAGTTATTTGGTCTAGTGCAATTTTAAAGGGAGGGCAAATATGGTAATAAAGAACACTTAACATATAAACCTTACTCCTTTGCTCAATAAATGAATACAAATGACACAGCACACACGTAAACTACACGACTAATAATAAAAACATAAAATCAAGAGAAATAAACGACATCTCCCACCATCAGGAGGAAAACAACATGACCCAATGTCGGCTCATGATATTTTAACATAATAACTAATTTTTTACATGCAAAAGAAAATTTTAATACAATTTTAAATACATTTTGAGGCTAATGTATGAAAAAGTGAATATCATATCGCGTGCAGTGGAAAATCCCAGTCAGAATACCCAGCAAATATGCATAAAAGAAACAGCATCATACGTAAGTCTACTCTTCAAGAAGCACCATCGTGAATGCCTGGGACAAACACCAAAAGATTATTCATAGCTTAAGTGCATATGGTTAAAACATCTTATGTGACAGTGTTTCCTGATCGTAGTGGTGCGCCTCTGAGGATGATTCTTTTGAATTGAAACATGTAAGGTGAAAAAGACTGAAGTGTTGTAAACTTGTATGTCACACTGGACTGTAAATTATCCACTCTGTAAGTGAATACATTATTAGCTATGTATAGAATAATGCATAACTGCTGGCATGAATATGTTCAGGTTGTTTCCTCTACTCCACAATAATAAATAAAATGAGAATCTACCTCCAAAAAATAGCTAAAAAGAAAATCTAACCATAAGACCCCATGTTTGCTTTGTAAGCGGTCCATAATTATTTTCATTTGCTGACATATTCTTTTCTAACAAGAGTTCTAATCATCCAGGTTCTTACTGGTGTTGTCTTCAGTTACTCATTAGTGCATCAGTATTCTCACTGGATTTAATTTTCAAACATACATTTCTGAATAATATTTCACCATTCGAGAAACAAAATGAATATTTAATGGACCACTTTTTCTGGCAAACGATACTTCTTAGCGTTGAGAACTCTAAACACAAGATTATTCTAAATCACTATATATCTTTACTACAGACAAAGAGTCATGCCCCACCATGCTGATACATCAATTTTTCTTTACCGTCTTACTATATTAACTTGTCCTGTTCTAGTTTTACTGTAATAGATTATTTCAAATTGTGTACCTTTTGGTATAGCTTCCTGGATGTGATGGAATACGGTGTAATAATTGAGTGGAATTCTTGTATCTTGTGTCATTTTCTGTTACAGAACACACAAACCACTATTATAGCTAGTAAGAACTACTGAAGAAACTTAAAGACAAACAATTTGTGCAGTATGTGTGAATCTCTATTGTAGTAAGTTCCCTTATATCTCTTTTGAATGATACCTTAAGTTCTCTCTATATTCCTATATGTTCGTGGTCTGAAATTTCCCTTAAGTGTGGTTTAATAAATGTTTTTCATAACTATAAATTTATGCTTTAATTAATAAATATACAGGGTGTTTCACGACTTTAGGGCATAACTGCAGGAGGTGATTTCCTAGGTCTTTGTGATCAAAAAAGTTCATACAAACATGTGTCCGATTTTGGACGGTTACGGAGTTATGACCATTTTAAACTCAGAATACAAGGAAACAATTACTGACAATAAACGGAACAAAATAATAAACCAGCATAATACATGATACATTTAAAATATGAATGTAAAGTTAATTTCGTGAAATTACGTTTAATTTGAATTTATTGGTGCTTAAAGCTGATTTTTGAAAATGCCACCGCCGGCTGCAACACAGGCGCCACTCGGTTGTGAACCGCGCCGGACATACCAACCCACCCCGCCTTATGTAGCTCTCAAATCTCGAGATAACTAGAACGCTCTGTCTGTAGCTGGCTAAAGATAGCGACCCTCCAGCTGACAGACGCGGTTCACATGAGGGCGTGTACGGGAATGAAAAAACGGTCATAACCATCCAAAATCGGACACATGTTTATATGAACTTTTTTGATCATAAAGACCTAGGAAATCACCTCCTGCAGTTATACCCTAAAGTCGTGAAACACTCTGTATATATATCACTGAGATTAATGGAAAATATATTGATCCTGGAATGTTTATTGAAGTGTAACAGTAAAGAAGAGAACTATATTTTGGATTTGAGGTTCTCATTGCAGGGAATATGAGAAGTAATATCTTATGAGGTATAGTGCTATGTAATCTGGTACTGTTTATCCCTTGCTGGTTTTCTGCTTGGCTTACTCTCTCTAACCCTGAAGGCAGAGGTAATACATTTCTACAAAATGGTGGTGGAATTATGTTGGACTACAGAGTCTCAGAAGACAGTGCTCTTCGGGAGAGTTATAAATTGAACAAAATTCAATAATCCTGTTGTACATTTTTTAAAAGATTTAAACACCAATAGAACTTATCAGCCTATATGTAATGATAATGTGTATAAATACATAAAACCTATGGGTTCTCGCAAGCTATAGATTTTTGCCCCTACGTAACAAGTGGTGTTTTATAACAAATGCAGAAATGGGTTCTACTAGACTGCTTCCTTCCAGCCCTTCAGTAGTTGTCATTCATGAGCATGTCATTATTTGATGTTTTGAAATCATATAACTGATAAAGCATCATAAATTCTGCTGAGCCATGATAATTTAGGTACCATCCTGATGATCTGACACCCCATATTGCCATGTATTATATCACTATTTATATGTGGTTTCTAAACTTGCATTCCACAAGTACAATGTTTTGCATAATACTAAGATTGGAACTGGAAAAAAATATGTGATTTGTGGTTGGGGTGTATGAGGTATTTGGAAAAATTTACTTCTACTTTTATTACGGATGGTAATGACACTGATTTCTTTTCCAACTAAGTATCAATAATAGTCACTCCACATATTTATCAGTGGCTGAGCCAACACAAAATTAATATGTGATGTTAATGATTAAATATCATTTAAAATGTTTGATTTTCATAATTTGTGTTCAGTTTTGAAAGAAATTTATAGTGAAACATTCACCAATGATTCTGATAGTTTTACATTACTTATAACACTACTCATATTTTGTAAACTTCTTTAGAAAACAAGGTGTATGTCTTTACATTCAAATTATGCTAGTTATACGACTGCAAATGTGAAAAATTTATCACTTGAAAATTACTCGTTAGTTTCTCTGTATCATACTCACTAATTTCTTCCACAGTGGTACAGCTTCTCAAATGTATTATCATTCCAGAAATACCCTTAGAAGCTGTATACTTCATTTCCATAATAATTAAACTAGAAGCATTCTTACCATCACACTGAAGTGCAGTGTTATGGGCAACACTTCTTTGCATTCAATTGGTCTTGTTTTCAAGCTGCCTAACTAATCTCAAGTCTCACTGAATAAGTCACAAGCACATCATTCCTAACTTATCTTCACAATGTTGTATAGCCTGTGAAAGTGTGTAGGTATTGCAAACCAAGAAACAAGCTTACCATGATAACTGCTTTGTTTTTGTCACTCTTTGAATTAAGCTGACCCCACCATGGACTCATATAACGGAGAGCCCATGCATGTCCAATTAGTTGCTGTATGAGTTGGCGAGTGAAAGTGCCTATGTCAGCATGAATTGCCACCTTAGCTGGAACACTGTTGTGCAGCTCCTCTGCACAAATATCTACCTGTTACAGATGCAACTTGATGTATTTTCTAGAATATTAGGACATGTATCTAAGCAATGCCCTGTTTTCTTTGAGATTCTCATGACAGTAACTGAGAAGAATGCTCTCCTCTGGAATGTGGCATTTTTTGTCTGGTAGAAGTTAACTGATGTTTTCTTTTAATTCGTTTGGGGGGGGGTGGAGTCCAAACTGGGTCCACTCGCCATGGTGGCCACTGACTGGCCTATTGTAGCCTGCCCCGGGTGATTATGATGATGGAGAATTTGGTGGAATGAAGATTGGCAGGGGAAACCAAAGTACTTGGAGAAAACTCACCCCAGCTCCACTTTGTCCACCATAATTCCCACTTGACCAGACCTAGGATGGAACCCAGGCCAGAATTGAATGTTACTTTCTTTTCTATATTTTACAGTCTAAAGTTGGCATCTTTAGATCATTACTGGCTAGCAGAAGAATTATGTTAAATATAAAAAGCCTGCATAATCTTTTGTTGGTCTTGAAGTACATCTTCTTGCAATACAAAAAAAAATTGTAGACCTTAATGAGTTTTGTACTTTATTTATGTATGTAGGTAAGTCAATAAGTAAGTTACAAATGGATATAGAACTTAAACAAGTAAGAGTACTGATTTGAAAATTTCTCAACATAATCTCCCTGTACACTGAGGCACTTGTCCCATCATTTCACATGCCCCTGAAAACCAGCAGCATAAAATTCTTTGGGCTGCTGCCAGAACCAGGTGGTGACTGGGATCATGAACGCATACTGCTCACCACATTCCAGCCTTAAGGACAAACCATAAATGCCGACTCCTACTGTAACATCCTCAGAAAACTTTCTAAGGCCATTCAACGGAAGCGACCAGGACTCCTCACCAAAGGTGTGTTGCTCTTGCATGATAACGCGCATCCCCATACTGCCCACAAGACAAATGAGACGCTGTGAAATTTCAAGTGGGAAGTCCTTGAGCATCCTCTGTATAGCCCCAACCTTGCTTCAAGCGACTTCCATTTGTTCAGCCCTCTTATCATCTTTCAGCTGAACATTTTCCTGATGATGAAGCTGTAGAAAGGGAAGTCACCGCCCGGTTCCGACAGCAGCCCAAAGAGTTTTATGCTGATGGTTTTCAGGGGCTTGTGAAACACTGGAACAAGTAACTAAAGGTACAGGGAGATTATGTTGAGAAATAAAAGCATTTTTCAAATCAGTACTCTTATTTGTTTAAGTTCTATATCTATTTGTAACTTACTTATTGACTTACCCTCGTATTTATCAATATAATTTAATTCTAGCTTCATCCAGTAAGCAGGACACTGGACTGATTTGAATAGCTGTGAATTTCACCTAACTTTTACTATATATTTTTCAGTATCATATTTAATTGAAATTTGTTCGGTGATATGTGAAAGACATGGACTTCCTATTATGCATCCATTTTATGGACTTGAACCAAAATATATGTATAATTTTAGTTGGGAAATGAATCCTTAGCACTGAACCTTCAGATTTGATGCAGATTGTCTTAAGACTGCATATGTTATTTTCACATGTTCATATGCATAATGTGAAGTATCATTTCAGTACATTTACACATTAGAAACTACAGTATATCTTTTACTGGCATACCTGAATAATTCTGACATTTGGGTCAAATCTTGGTGGTCGCCCAAAATGCAGAATCCAATTCAAGCGAGCACCTAACAAAAGAATTGTATCTGCATGTTGCAATGCTGTGGTACGTGCAGATGAAACACAGTGAAAATCATTATCATCCACAACTCCTTTCCCCATAGGTGTTGGCAGGACTGGGAGGTTAAATGTCCTTACAAAATCACGCACTATAACTTCTGCTCCTGCATATGCTGCTCCTGAATTGCATTAAATGGTTCTGTTTGTGAAATACAGTTAAACTGAAATTTAACATTAACAGCACATGAAATAGATGTTTTCTTTATCAATAAGCACGTGATTCTCATAACCAAACCAAAATATGCTGCCCTTATGATATTACACACATGGCAGTTGAAGAATGGTCTTGACATGTTAGAAAGTTATTATTACTATTTGATATATCATGACTGTTCTTTGAGAGTAATGAGCTGTGTTAAGTTACAACTATAAAGTTGTACCATCACATTAGTCAGTCCTGGGGGGAGTGCATCACACCTGCTTTCCTTCAGGCACTTCCTTACATACAGACAGGTTAGCGGGAATTATAAATTTATAATTATGTGTCTAATAATTCAGTGCCTACAAGTCTGTTTCACCAACAAGTGGCGGTCACTTGGTCAGTATAGTTCGCTTGCAGACTAAAACCATGGATAGACTTGCACTACTCCTGCAAGTTTTGTTCCGGGGATTAGTCTGATGCCTGGAAGTCGCCATGGTGGCACGATTCTTTTTCCACGCAGATTAGGCATACTTTATCCAGTTTTTACTTTCGTTTTTAACTGAATTCATGGAATATAACCTATACTTCTGTTTCTTTACATTGTTGACAAGTGCATGCTTGGCACAAATTTTCTATCATGTTTTTACTGTGATTTTATTCTTTCCTCCCACTGATGGAACCGGTTGTCGGTTGTTCATAGGTTGTTTTTCTACAGACCGGGGTTTGTCCAGTGATTGAGACTAGCTCTTTCTAAGTGCCCCAACTGAGTAGGTTTATCCTTCCCTATCCACCTGAAGACAGAGACAGATTCAGTCTCCGAAACATTGTGGTTTTTTGTCTTTTACATACCAGATGATGAGTGAAGTCCAAAATAAGCCAAAAGAAGTAAAACCATGGAGTTTGTGTTTCTAATCTATCTCTAGCTGCAGTGGTCCATAAAACAAATTTTGAGTGGCACCATGATGTAGGGTCATGCATTAGGTAGTGCTATTGTTTCTCCCACCTCAAAAATTTGCATGATCATAATGTTAGTGTTTTTGATGGCAATGAACTGAAAGTACTATGTTTGAGAAGCATTCAGTAGCATGGTACTTATACTAAACTTTGTGAAAATTTGTCAGTAACTTCAAAAGCTATTTGCATGGGGAAGAGATACACACATTCACACACATGAATACAGGCACACAGACAGATGTGATGATACCATAAGCTTGTTATTATCATATAATTAGGAAAGTCTGCTAAAAATGTGCCAGAGCTACTGAAACAGTGTTATGTATGTATGTATGTATGTATGCATGGATTACCTTTCCCAACAATCACAAGGGGTCTCATTGATCTCACTATGAGACTGGCAGCTTGGCTGACCAGGGCAGGATCTGGCCATGCCAGTGGTGGTTCAGGGCAGATTGCAGTGTGGACTACTTTACTATCAGACACCCGTTGGGCCAAAATATTTCCTGGGAAATCTAAATATGACACCCCTGTGGAACATGGAACACACAAGGAACTTGGTTAAACATGAAGATTATATTACCCATAATATTATTTATTCAATTCATTTTATATTTTGCCTAACATATATGCATTCAGATACAGAGAGGCTATTCAAATGGGAAACCCTCTGTGCTGTTTTCTAAAAGTTATAAATTTAAGAATAATATGATTTGTTTCATTCTGGTCCGTCACACTAACAATTATAAATACAAACCACTCTGTCCAATGTGACATATAAGTTTTTACTCTGTTAAAACTTATCTCCCTTACGTGTTTCGGTCCTTACGGGCCATCTTCAGAGGGAACATCATTACAAACTGGAAACTACCATCACAATAGGTGTTTTGATTTAAAATACATACACTTATATCCTATAATGCCCAGTATGCATAAAGTCGAACGTTTCACAATCACAGCAGCTTCCTGGTATTGTAAAGTTTTTAAAAGTTTCTAGATGTTATTTAAAAAACCTTTATTGTCAATAGTTAAAAATTTTTAACACGTAGGTTCGTGTCTGTACTCCTATAGTCCTTCTCGTATGGGGCAGATTTTGTGAAAACAACACAGCAAGCCATGAACAAACCCTGGACGACATCAAGAACCTGCTCATCAAGATAGACAGGCGGCACAAAATCTGCCCCATACAAGAAGGATGATAGGAGTACGGACACGAACCTACATGGTTTAAAAAATTTTAACTATTGACAATAAAGGTTTTTTAAATAACGTCTAGAAACTTTTAAAAACTTTACAATACCAGGAAGCTGCTGTGATTGTGAAACGTTCGACTTTATGCATACTGGGCATTATAGGATATAAGTGTATGTATTTTAAATCAAAACACCTATTGTGATGGTAGTTTCCAGTTTGTAATGATGTTCCCTCTGAAGATGGCCCATAAGGACCGAAACATGTAAGGGAGATAAGTTTTAACGTAGTAAAAACTTATGTCACATTGGACGGAGTGGTTTGTATTTATTATTATTAAGAATAATAGTCATGAGATGGATTCAAACAAATGAACTTTTTTATTTCTTTGTACATCTGATATTTTACCTAGAAAGTCTGTAAATTATTTTTAATTCCAAAATATGTCTTTTTGACAGAAATCAGCCAAGTTCTTCAGCACAAACAACTCTGTGATTTATGCAGGTCACGTAGACTTTTAGGGCTGGGAAATCGAGAAGGCTGTAATGGACTGGTACTGTAAATAGACTGGGGAAGGCACACAGAAGTTTGAGGGGGGAAATCTTTTGGAAAACTGAGGAGTTGAAAGGATAACATTAAAATGTATATCATAATGAAATGGCTTGTGAGGAGCAAAGATGAATTAAATGGGTTATACCATTTCTTTATAGTTCAAACTAAGTAGAAATTTCTGATGTGGTACCTGGTTTATCATTTGTTTTTTAGCCTGTCACAGTCTATAAATTATTCTTGGAATACAGTATTAATAGAAAAGAACTGAGGCAATATGTAACAAAAATTTGTAACTGATATGTTGATATTTCAAGGTTTGTTCAAAAATACGGTAGCAAAATCCTTCCTTTTGACAAAATGTTAAGACTGTGGGAATAGCAAAATGAATATTCTGTCACTGTTAATCAATATTAGGCTCAGCAGTGGAGTCCATACCTGGCCTTCCATATAGTGACAGCCGAACAGCCTTTTCGACATGTGTCGGGATAAGCGTCAGTCCAGGAGGTCTGGCACTATATTTACAATATGGTCTGGCAAGATTCACTTGAGGACATTCTTGAAAGCCACCTATACCTTCATGATCTTGTGCACATGAACCACCAATCACAAGAAGAGGCCTGAGTTAGAAACATTTATGTACTGAAGTTCAATGAAACAAATAACTCACTGCATTGCAGTGAAGTTAAAAAGAATATCATGTCATTACTGTCATTTTATAATAGATATTGGGATTCTTCCTTCTTATTTTGTTTAGCACACAGTGTGGAACGAACATTCAAAAGCAAATAAGAAACATATTGGTTGTACTACAATGACAAGACTTTATAAATGTCATTACGTCTGTAAACTTTTACAAGTTGATGGAAATCATTCTACTGGCCTGAGATGAATGTATGTGTCTTATTTTGATGCAACAGCACTTTCTCAGCTACTTAGGTTATGTGTGATTAATAATGAGTGGGAAGATGGCTGTTAAATGGGAAGAAAATGGAAGGAAATGACTGCGGACTTTCAAAATACTATACGAGATTCCACCTCGAGAAACAGTGTAAAAATGTGAAAAACCTTAAGATTCCTGGAGTTTGGTGAGAGAATCAAAGTGATGCTAACATATACATTGACAGCAATTAACACTTTGCGGACCGCGCACCCTTTAAAAGGTTTTTCGCTTTTAAACATGGTGGACCGTTCACATGTTAACAGGTTTTAAAACACGATAAGTTGCAACACACTATACATCTCTCTGGCTCCACCTAGCTAGCATGTAGCTGCTTGCAGCTGCGTTATAAGGCTCTGGAATGTCTGCTGACCAGTCAGTTACTAGACCTCGCTGTAACTCTATGCCTCTGCAAAGGAAAATAAATGCCTTTATTTCTTCAAGCTTTACGTAGCAAGCTGTCAGTCAGTAGTTCAATATGGATCAAAGACCAAAGCGGTTGACACCTAAGCGATTTCTTGGAGAACAAGAAATATCTGACTTCTTCTCTGATGAGCTATCTGACGTCCCTTGTGAGTCTGCTAGTGATACGGACTCACAATCTGATAGTGAGTGAAGCAGGGGCAAACAAAAAAATTGTGACCACAAACAGGGAAAGTGAAAGTAAACGTGACCCTACCTCCGACGAATGTGCGGGTAGCAACATTGCGGGGACAGCCACATGGGGAAAAGTAGACAAAACGCCTGTTTTGGGACAGTTACTGGAAATCCAGGGTTGAAGCGAATTCCATCGGACCCAACGCAAGTGTCTGAAGTAGCGGAACTGTTTTTTGGAGATAGTTTCTTTGACATGCTATGTCAGGAAACTAACAGATACTATCTCCAACACCGTGAACATTATGACAGAAGTTATAAGGCGCTGAAGTGGGTGGATGTCACTTCAGGAGAAATGAAAAAATTTTTTGCAGTTATCTTTCTAATGGGCCATACAAGGAGGGATAATCTGAAAGGGTATTGGTCAACAGATTAATTTTTAAAAATTCCAATTTTTGGCAAACTAATGAGCCGTAAAAGATTTGAGCAAATTTGGTGGTGTTTGCATTTCAATGATAATGAACTGCAACCACAATCAACAAGCAGGCTTTTCAAAATTCAGCCCTTATTGACCTTTTTCATTCAGAAATTTCAGACAGTTTATAAGCCAAACCAACAACTGTCTTTGGACGAATCTGTGATTCCTTGGAGGGGAAGGCTTTGTATGCGAACATATAATTCTGGGAAACTTACAAAGTATGGCCTACTTGTTCGTGAAGTTACTGAATGCACTTCAGGCTATATTGGAAATTTAGAAATTTATTCTGGTGAAGGATGGAAATTTAGAAATTTATTCTGGTGAAGGAAAGAAATTACAAGAAACTATTCTTTCCATTTTGGAACCCTATCTTGATCAAAATTACCATGTCTATCAAGACAATTATTATAACAGTGTTGAAACTGCAGAACACCTATTTTCAAGAAAAGTACGTGTTTGTGGAACAATTAGGGTGAACAGAGGCCTTCCTCCAGATCTGAAAGAGGAATGTAAATCCCTGAAACGTGGTGAAACCACATTCAGGAGGAAGGGGGATATTCTTCTTCATTCCGAGTATAATATGTTCATGAAGGGAGTTGAAGAGCCAATCAGTACTTGGCCTATTATTCTCTTCCTCAGAAAACAGTAAAGTGGAGAAAGAAATTTGCCTTGTGGCTTATAAATTGTGCCATTTTCAATTCATTTTTGGTTTTCAAAAATGTAAACCCTCATTCAAAATTGAAATACAAGGCATTTCTGCTGAATGTGGCAAAAGCCTGGGCTACAGACCACATGGTGGCGGCAGAACCAGCAGCAGACACAGTCTTAGTACGACCGGGGCCGTCTACTCCCACCCCACACAGGCCTTATTTTGACCCCCCTGGGCGACTCTCGGGTGATATGCGGAAACATACCCTCGCGAAAATTGTGAAAAGTGAACATTTCAAGGGGAAGCAGCCTTCTAGGCAATGCTGTGTTTGCGCAATTCACAAGAAAAGGAGTAGGACTGCCTACGTTTGCAAGTTTTGTGTAATGCCACTTCACAGAGGGGAATGTTGCGAGAAATATCACACTCTCAAGTACTTCTAGAAGCATTGGTAAGTGTTCTAAAAAAATTTTAGTTCATAAAATTAATTAGGAGATTTTATATTAATTTTAAAGTGAACAGTGCTCAAGTTATGGTAGTAGGTATAAAAATGCCGGTCCACAGGGTGATTTAAATATTTAAATTGCCAGTCTGCAAAGTGTTAAGAAAACTGACAGGAGAAATGCTGCAAATGTGTTTGGTGGCAAATTATGTTCCAGACCAAGATGCTAGGGTCATATAACAGGTTGAAAGACAGTTGTGAATTACTACTTACATGGACAATTTCTAAGTATATAAGCATGTACCATTACATTACACTGCCCAGTAATCTTTCTGATGAGGATTGCCAGAAGCTGAGAAATATTCTCAAGCTTTGTCCATATTAGAAGTACGGAGGAGTTTATCAGACAAAGAAACTACTACTACTCATTGAAATTATTCTCAACTAGCCATTGCTTCTGATATATAGTATAATCTAACCTTTAAAATTTGAGCTTATTCTTCCAATTAAGTTAAAGTGCCAAATGCTGTAACATACAGAACTAATTAAGAATATACTCAAACACCTGTCACTGTAATAAAACCATGCTGTAACTGTAAATAAGGTGGGCCTAGTTCCTAAAAAGTCATATTTAACATTAACTCTGATGGGCTGTAACACTTTCAGTGTTCATGTTCTTGATAAATATTCTTTTGATTTGATGATAAAGGTAATGTTATCATACCAACAGTTCATCTGAGCATTGGCCATGCCCCCAAGTGTATGGAGAAGCCCTGGACCTGATACCACAAGACAGACACCAGGACGTTTGGTAAGGTAACCTATTGCTTGTGCAGCATAGCAAGCTGCTTGTTCATTTCTCATTCCCACAAAGTGTAGTCCAGCCTGCTGTATTGCCATGCTCAGCTCAATCACAGGGATACCAACAATGCCAAACACATACTTAACACCCTAAAATAAAGAGATATTGGTAGTAGTACATAACCTATAAATAAACCAGTTGTATCATCTTCCACAACTTTAGTGAATTTATTTACAGGTTCATTATATTTATTTTATAATTTTACCTGAGCAACAAGTGCTTCTGCTAAAATTTTATTTCCATCTACATCATCTGAAGACATTATGCAAGTGTCCTTTTATTTCTTATTAGCAAAACTGAATGATCATGAAACTACAGATTCTTCCACTTCGTATACAGTGATATATGTTACATAAATCAGTACATGTTTCAAGGTTATCAGATACAGATTTCTTCATGAAACCATACAACCGGGCAGTTACATGTAACAAGCAGGGATTAATAAAAAGGCACAAATTTCTCACCCAACTTCAGTCTCGCCAACTCTACAGAAAATTCACTAGATTGTGACATTTTAGTCTAGAACTGAATTATAACGGAATATATCTGTGGTCCTTCATTAATAAAAAAAAACACGTACAACAGCTTCTCTTAATGTAGCTGTTGCACCCAGCATTATACTTGCTCTAGTTACACTGCGGTGTGATAAAGTTGTACTGTCGTGTATGTGTATTGTGGTGGGGCGGACCATTTGATAGCATGAAGATATGGACACGCTGTTCCAGTTAGGATGTCAAGTAAGCTAATACAAAAACAAAATATTCTTTATATTTCCCTAGTATAAGCATAATGTGAAACTAACCTGGTGAGGTTATATCACTTCCTCATCATATGATGAAATATCTGTAAGGCAAAGGTAGCACAGATTATTTTTGAAGACTTCGTGTATATTCTTGGCATATTATTGTTTAAGAGGAAGTCTTTCATATAATGTGTGATATTATAATAAAACATAACCAAACTTATTTTAGTCACAGTCAAAAGCTATTCTCACAAAGACATAGTGTCACAGACTATTTGATCATTGTAATTTCAATTTTCCCCACCAAAAATATCAGTGCGTTACCTTCTAAGAGACATCATAATTTATTTTATTTATTTATGGGTTATTTAACAATGCCCTCAGTTGCTGCACTATGTAGTGTTAAGTGAATGAATGATGGACAGTAGTTTGGAAAGAATTGGAAAGGAATTGACCATAGCCTATTCCGGGCACTATCCCAGGATTTGCCTGGAAGAACTGGGGAAAACTATGAAAAGCCTCAGGATACCTGATGACCCTGCTGGGATTTGAACCGAACACCTCCCAAATATGAGTCAAAAGCACCAACTCCTTGAGATTTCAACCTTCAATCTTTAATTCATAAATAGAAAAGTTATGGTTATCTATTGAAAACCTACGAGATACCTAGGTTTATCATAAAAGTGGAGATTAAGATCATGGGCTTCTGAAGTATGATACCAAGTGGTCTTGTGATGATTTCCAGTCTTTCAGGGGAACTTCCAGCCTTCATCTCTGGAGTACAAATGATCAAAGTTTGGAAATTTGTAGTTTATATAGGAAGGGTGGGAGGACTAGACCATAGAATGTCAGTGGACTGGCTAGTCAGATTGCATGAGGTGGAAGTGGAGGTGGACCCTGGGTGGGCTAATGGCAACAGGAAGCAGTCTGACAAAAAAGTGAGGAAAAGCCTAAAGAGGGTGACTCTGTTAAATTTTTATATTACTGTTGCATTGAATATAGGCCATATGTGTAACTAATTCCTTGTTCTGAGGTTCAGAATGTATAACATAATGTGGTGTCTTAAATTATGGGCCACTAAAGAAAAGAATTTGTGAATAAAAAAGTAGGTGCTTAATTATGGCAGCCTTGGTTTTAACTGAAAGTGCCTTTCACATTACTACTCACATTTCTTACGTGTCACAGTAACCTTCAAAATCTAGAAGTTAGTTCAGAAAAGAATGTCCCCAGTTTGTGTTGGAGAAGAAAATAACTAAGTGGGAACCCAGGCATTGCCTTTTTATGGTTTTCCTCAACCTCTCCACTTAAATGCTGACACAGTTGCATCATCAAGTCCATAGTTGTCAGACGTTCTTGAATACTCAGCATTAATGATTATTTTATGGCATGTCATAATTACAGTTGAAATAGTGTCATTAAGTAACATAATTGAAATGCAGAATATACAATGAAGTCATGTGCATGTAATTTATTGTTCTCTTGAGTTTGGTTTTATACAATAAAATTTATTTCACTTTATTTATACATCTTATTTATTTTGCTCTGAAAATATGGCTTGAGGCCACTGAACTTCATTTAAAATGTTTTCACTTTCTTCTTGAATCATTTTCCTATTACATCCCAGGAGATCAGCCACTTCAGAGCTGGAATACATATATGGCAACTGCTGAATTGTATCTGCTCTGTTCTCTATTAGAAGTCTTGTTACCTTTAGGCTGTTAGTGAAAGCAGCGAAGGGAAATGGTGGCTTAGTCACAACAGAATCTCCAAAAGTTTATTATTATTCCATTTTGAATCTGAGAATAAAAGGTACCATGCATCTGATACATACCATTGTAATCTTAGCATAAACATGGTGATGCCTCGTGGACATATAGCACGGGATAATACAATTCTTTTAACCTAGTTTACAAACTATAGAACTATGCTCATAAGATACACGTGTTGTGTGTCTCTGTTAATAAGTTTTACTTTACCATATATGTGGTATTTATGAGGAAGTATTGTGATCCTAAAGAAAATCATTCACTTGATTTTGATGGAGTTACATATTTTCAGCATCACTGAGTATGAAAATGTCAATTCTGGAATGCCGAATGTCTGTCTGTATGTATGTATGTATGTATGTATGAACCCTTTGCTAGTGCCTGAATGCTTTGACAGGTTTTGTTCATATTCAGTATTTAGGAGTTATCTGTTACTGGTTGATGTTTGGTGATGCAGAGACCTTTGACTAATATATATAGCCTATGGCATACCCCCAAACAAAAGTCTGCGCTCCAGTTTCAGAAACTACTTTTGTTGCTTGGGATAATTACTGCTTCTAATGTCTATGATTTCTTGCTCTGGCTTGAAGCTGACCACTGACCTCTGTCCAGTGCCAAGGTCAAGAATTTCGGAGCTATACATCTACTCCTCCACACATCTTCATGGCATGATAGTTAATTAAGCACAGCGATAGCTGTACCTTTATCTTATTGTTTTCCCAAATATAAAGTGGTAGTAAGGACTTATACTATTTCTAACTATGCAGATGCACATTTAAGTTATGTAAAAACAATTTTTATGGTATTTTCTCTCCAAGAGGAGCATTATCTGTCTACATTATTTTCCATGTTGTGCTGTTTGTGAGAAAGAAGGTGGAACTGACAAACAGGAGGTTTTATCTTGTTGTGACAGATCTCACAATAACAAGACAAATCAAACTTTTCAGACACTTAGTACAACCAAGGATTCTGTATATCACTCATCACCACAGCACAAATGCCTGTGCCCTAAATACTTACAGCACAATATGGATACTGCTGCCCATCCAGGAGATGCCAATCCTATGGGATAGCTAACAGCAACTACGCCCCCATAGCCCCCCCCCCCCCTGGCCAACACACTTTCAACACAAGATTTCTTCCCGGCTAATCTCCAAATACCAAATGTGTATGTATGCTGCCTCAGTAGTTGTCCTTAAGAGCAAGAAGAATGCAAGTAAGAAACTCATCCATTTATACACTTGTTGACTCAACCACATTCCCACCATCAAACAAGTCATCCACATTACAAAGTATATATACATATACATATGTACATACCCATTAAATCATACACAAGCAAACTTGATCATTTACCCCACTTCACTTCTTTAATATTTACTATCATTGCATTATACAAACCAATCTATATGCAAAGCCACAGCTGACCTCCATTTCAATTCATATGATTTTATTGTATTAATACTTAATTTTATGACATATCTTTAGTTTAAAGAATGGATTCATTTTAATTTGCAATTCAGTGATATGTATTTTGTACTTCTTTTGGCTTATTTTGGACTTCACCCATCGTCCGGTATATAAAAGACAAAAAAAACCATGACGTTTCGGAGACTGGATCTGTCTCCGTCTTCAGGTGGATAGGGAAGGGTAAACCTACTCAGTTGGGCCCCTTAGAAAGAGCTAGTCTCAATCACTGGACTGTAGCTCTTTCTAAGGGGCCCAACTGAGTAGGTTTACCCTTCCCTATCCACCTGAAGACGGAGACAGATGCAGTCTCCGAAACGTCGTGGTTTTTTTGTCTTTTATATACCGGACGATGGGCGAAGTCCAAAAGAAGCCAAAAGAAGTACAGTATACACCATCGTCAGAATCCTTTGAAGTCTCTCTGATATGTATTTTATTTATGTATCATCTGATGGTAATTTGTAGATGTTAATGACATTTATATTTTGTGCTTTGTACAGACTATTTCTAAGAGAATCAGTAAAGATTGATTTCAGCCTTTGTAATTTAGAGTTTATATTTTATATATTTATATTTTACACCTAATATGAGATTTAATTGAACTCTGTTTTAGCGATGAAACATGAAGGCATTTAAGGAAATAAATTTAAGAAGGTTAATTTGTTGGTCAATTTTATTTTCTAAGTAGAAATGAAAGGAGTACAAACTTCCTTTCTCTTCACTTTAATAAAATAAAGTTAACTCATTAAACATAAAAGTTATCCCAGAACTGGGAATTGGTACAAGTTTTACATGTTCTGATGTGTGATAAGTAATGACAATATATTTGTGCAATAACACTGAACACTATGTAGAACATCCCGTTAGCTGCTGTTTGGTTCATTTACTCAGTGGATATTGGTGAGAATTCAACTGCATTTATTTCTAATCTGTAGCCATGTGGTGAAATGATGTACGGTATTTCAAAGTGGAGACTGAAACAAAGCATAAGAAGGGAATTATTTCATGGAATTCAGAAGCTCTACTTACTAATACTCTTATGTGGTTCTAATTGTATTCTTCACAGGGCTAATGAAATCAAGGAGGATGAGAATTACGGGGCATGTAGCATGTAGTATGTCCAGTACAGATGGGAAATGCATACAGAATTCTAGTCAGGAACCCTCAAGGGGATAGCCATGTGCGAGGCATAGAAGTAGATGAGATGATATTATTAAAATGGATCTCAAGAGAAGTATGATATAACAATATGGACTCCATTCATCTGGCTCAGGATAAAGTCCAGTGGCAGGCTCTTGTGGACACTGTAATAAACCTTCAGGTTCAATGAAAAGGGAAAAAGAGCTTGAAAAACTGAGATTATGTAGAATAACTCTGCTGTGTGTGTTACCTTGTCATAAATGTATCATGAGAGTATTTTCTTAGGACATTGTAGTCTTTTTAAGAAAAATTTATGACATTTCAGTAACTGGTCACATTAGCCGTGGAAACAAGGCCTAACAATAAGGACTAACTTTAAACAGGCAGCACAGTATATATATATATATATCTGTTTTGTCTGCCTGAAGAAAGAAACAGGGCCACCATCCAAAACATACACAGTTTTATCCAGACTGTGAATGGTGTCCAAAGAAAATTCAACCAGAATGAAATCTGCTGTGGTTAATCAATCTGGCTAACTAGTTTATTCTTTAATGACACAATATGTTCTGTTGTGTAGTCACTTCAGAACAAACTGGCCAACTAGATAATTACCCTACTTCATAATACACTGTCTTTCCTGAACAGTTTATGGTTACTTAGGTAATCAAGAAATTTCCCTCTTTTATGAAAACCAGTTTCTCTCATGTTTGCTCGATTGTGCCCTGTTTTGGTCTAATTTAATCAGTTTGAAATTAGAGGTTCTCATGGCAGTGAATATTAAGACTGTGGTCTTTTTGAATGTGATGTAGTGAAATTTTGTAGATATTGGTAGATACCAATATTTTCTAGGAATTTTCTGCCTCCATCTTAAAGGTAGAAGAGTGAAACTATGTAGAAGCACAGCTCAGAAGAATATAATCTTAATACAATCCAGTCCTCATCTTTAGAGATTCCTTCCATCTGTGTGTAGGTGTCTCAAGTGCACTCCTTCCTTGAGGCTTTCCAGCCATACTTCATATGCATACTTTTTTCACTCTTACATATTATTTTTTTATTTCAAAATACAGACATTAGGATACATTATATGCCATTTGCCGATGCTGCTCTTGGCTTTTGTTATTATTGACTGTTGAATTTTTTACTTTTTATTATGCTCTTTTTATATACATGTATGATTCACGCAAAAACATTTGCAGCATATGTGGTCTGATAGTAAAGTTCGCGAACTCATTGTGGTAACATGCCTCATTGCTGAGTATCACTGTGGTCGCCTTTATAGTACTCCCCTTGTGAAGCTATGCATGTATGCCAGTACCTAGTCCACCCTCCAAAACAATTTTGGAACTGGTTTTGTTGAATTGCCTTCAGAGCTGCCATCATGTTACTCCTGATGTCATCAGTGATATCAAATTGCCTACCTTTCAATATTTCTTTAATCTTAGGGAACAGAAAAATGTCACTGGAGGCTAGATCTGGTGAATAGGGAGGGTATTCCAGCACAGTTATTTGTTTACTACTTAAAAATTCCTCACAGAGTGCCGTGGGGGCAGGTCCTTTGGTCCCATTTTTGCACACACCTTCCTCATGTCAGGATCTCCAGTTAATGTTAGCTTGCTCTATTATGCTCCTGACAGTCACGCACAATTTGACTGAAAGACTGGCATAGATCAACAACAAGACAAGTGTGAAATGCTGATATGCCAGTGTCATCAAATCATGCTGAGGTTTCTGACCACTGCTGCCATAGCAAGCACATGGCAAGTTTGCAAACTTTATTGTCAGACCTCTTATTTATTTACACTGTGTGTAATGAACACATGCCAAAGAGCTGGTATGCTCTGTGACCAAGTAAATAGTAATTGTTTAACTGGATTATGAATGATATCATGGCACATGCATAAGGATGTATTTAATTTAGTGTATATCTATTGAAACTTCAGTAACGTGTGCATATATGAATGCATGCACTAATCACAGAATCTGGTAATAAACTATATCATTGTTAGTCTATCCAGATGATAATAGGTGATGAACTGGGAAATTGACTTAAGTGCCAATGCTTCTGAATTGTTGACTTGTATTCAGAAAGTTCCCAGTTTGAATCCTGAATCTTGACTGGGGTACCAGTTATCTTGACTGAGGTTTTTTGTGGGTTTCCCTCAGTCCCTCCAGGGAAATGCTGGGTAAGTACCTCAACTTAGGTTATGGCTGCTTCCTTCAAAATCATTTTCAGTTCATTATTCGGTCTGAAATGTTAAGAACGTAATTAAATAAATCATAAATAAATAAGTGAAATAAGTAAATGCTATGACATTTCACTGATATCTGCTTTACTTAATGAATTCAAGAACATACACAGGTTGGTATATGCATGTATACATTTCCTTTTGTTGTAAAACTAGCAATAGATTCAAAAAGGAATTAGTGTAGTAACCTTTTTTCAAAGTAGAACACGGCGGTACAGTGGCACCCCTGGGTCACGATAAGGGTGGTCCAGTAACTGGGTCAGTACCTGTACTTCATCACGGGGTGAGATAACCTGTTAAAGGAAAGTGATTCATGAGGATGAATCTTGTTGTGATCCATTAAAGATTTATGACAGTGGTCAGTTATTCATTATAAAATTATATCCTTGGACGTGGTCTTAGGTACATTTAAATTATTTGTTATTTCAGAGGCTGATCTGCTTACATTGTAAGGTACATGAAGGTGAGAGGATCCTATGCAGCTGGGCCCATTAAATAAAGCTATTCTCAACCATTGCTGTTTCCAAAACAATATGTAATTTAAATGTACCCTTTAATCTTTAAGGAATGCATCGTATTGTGTGTTTATACTGTATATAAATTTCATAATACTTTCTGTCAAACACAGCAATTCACCAAATAACTCACCCACAATCCATTATGTACAACTCACTGAGCGAGTTATTTGGTGAATTGTTATGTTTGACAGGAATTATTATGAAATTTATATATAGTTTAAATAGACATATGGTTATGGACAGTTCCACTGTCGGTCACTGTACAGTGATAGAAATTAACTTTGTATAATGGGCATGACCGAATAGATCCTTTCCCATTTTTACACCTTGTGATAGAAGCAGAGGAAGCTGATGTCATATAATTTAAATATATTTAAGACAGAGGAAAATGTTGAATATAATAATTTTATAATGAATCTTGTTTCATTAACTGAATATATTCATCGCTACTGTACTAATATGTTATGTTTCCTTATATGGTTTACATATTTACTGATCAATATATCATTTATTTTGAAAGCAAAAATATAACAATCATGAATATGTATAATAATGTACTTTATAAGTCTGTGTGTTTTTGTTTTGTGCTCATATTTTTAAGTAAATAGCATGGTTCATTGTGTTTGATCTTACTGCATGCATAACAATATTAACATACACTTACTTATCAGGTTTAGTTACTGGTCAAATAGCTTACCTTCAGTTAGAGAGGTACTTTATTCAGATCCCAGTCTGGATCTTCACACTTGGGTTTTTCAGTCCTCTCCAGTCCAATGCTAAGACAGTGCTTTAAATTTGTCACACCCCACGTCTGTCCCTCCCAACTTATTATCCATAACTGTGCAAGTTGGATCAAGCAGTAACACGTAAACTTCCTGAGGTTTATTACCATGTTCACAAGAGCCCTTCACTGGTCCCTATGCTGAGCCAGATTGATCCAGTCCATACTTCCCCATCCTGTTTCTCTAAAATCCATTTTAATATTGTCCACCCACCTATGTCCTGGTCTTCTTATTGGTCTCTTTCTTTCTTTCTTTCTTTCCCACCAATATCCTATATGCAGTCCTCTTCTCCCCATTCGTGCTACATGTCTTGCCTATTTCATCCTTCTTGATTTAGTCGTTCTAATTATACGTGGTGAAGAGTACAAGCTATGAAGCTTCTCATTATGCAGTTTTCTCCAATCTCCTATCACTTCATCCCACTTTGGTCCAAATATTCTCCTCAGCAACCTGTCCTCTAACACCCTCAGTCTATATTCCTCCCCTAATGTCAGAGACAAAGTTTTGCACCCATACAGAACCACAGGCAAAATTATAGTTTTGTATGTTCTATTTTTTATGTTGTTAGATAGCAGGTAAGAAGGCAAATGATACTGGACTGAAGGTAGCAAGCATTACTGAATTCAAGGAGTAACACGTATGGCTTCAATCTCAGTCAGGACACTGACTCTCCTAACTGAGGGTTTTTATGGTTTTATTCAGTCCTTCCTGGAAAATTCTTTATGTAAATTAGGCCATGACCACTTCATTCTACATCCTTTACAATTTATTATTAACTAACGTCTGATCCATTGATGATATACAGTTTGAGTTACTGACACTGTCTTAAAGTAAAATATAAACAAATACATTATTATTCCCATTCATTTTGCTGTGTTGTTTTATTTGATGCTAAATATCATCTGTTGTTGATACGGCATCATCAAATAATGGAAGAAATAAGTAGTGCATATACATATAACAGTCATTTGAATGTTGATGGTTTGTAATTATATTAGTCTCAAAAATATCTTTGCTTTTCATTATAAAAAGTCCTAACTAAAAATTACAGGGTTATGTCTTAACTTCTCAGACTGTGATAACACAGCTGTGTAGGTGAAAATAACACTTATTTCTCATCACACCATCAAGCCTAGATACTTGAACCATATCAGGCATGAATAAGCAGATCTCAGTCTGAGTAAACAGTTTTGTGCTTATCCACCTATGCTACCAAAAAGCAACATAAGGTAAGGAAGATGAAGAAGACAAGAAATAAATGTTAATATCTTTCATGTGAACTCTGTCCTTTTATTACGTACAAAACATTAATGACATAATATTGTTTGTGTTCATGATTACTTTCATCTAAAAAGAATAAAAGAACAGAGAATTTCAAATAATACAAGAATCAGTCTGGTATCAATTAAGAATTTAATTTGGGGTCTTATTTGTGAGCATTCCTCATACTATGACATTGTGTTTGTTTAAAGGTCCTTTCATCCACTTATTGACCATGATATGAATGAATGTGTTTCGTATTCTGTCCATTATCTTCACTTGAAGAATTATTACCTTGAAGTGTCTTATGTGTGATACTTTATGCAGAAGAATGTCTTTGAATGTTTGACACCATGTGTCTTCTTCAGGTGAATTCTTGTATGATTAATTTACAATTCAGTACAATACATAAATTTTCATTTGAAGATATACTGCCTTTAGTTTCAGTTGAGTTATTTTACATTAGTTCATTCATTCATTCATTCATTCATTCATTTGTGAATCACAACTTTATTTTTAATGTTGCTTGCACTTAGGCACAATTAATATATTGTATGTTAGGTATCTGTACTCATTTTATCTTCTTGGTTATCTTTTGATCATTTTTATATGCATCGGGTTAAGGTTGACATATCAAATCTTACAAAAACATAATTACTTTTTTGAATCCCATCAGCCTTTGTTTGCCTTCCAGTCTGTGAAATATTCCAGTACTGCATTGGAAAATGCTCTTTGTGTCAAAGCTATGTGTCTTGTAGTTTCTGCCATCATTTGAACCTTCAGTTGTTTGCAGTTTTGCATGCATTAGCCATAAATAAATATAATATGTGTTGTATGTGCTAATACAAGGTGGTTCAAATATGACCGGGACTGATTTTTTTAACCATAATTGCCAAACACTTAGTTAGTTATTGGAGAGGGTGGGTTTCCCCATGCACTGAGACCTGTATTGGTCCATTGTGCTTCCCTCTATGATTTCTACCAGTATCTATATCCTACTGGTTCTGGTGCTTACCATCAGTCCCGCCGAGCCAGCGAGACCGGCTCTACTAGCTGAGAGGTATCTATAATGCTTCCCCCATCTACCAGAGGTATTAGAGACTGCTGTTGTGCAGGAAACGTCCGTTAATTTGGCTCGGTGACCTCCTTTGGAGATATGAGGTTCTTTTACGTGCCGAAAAACTATGACACGGGACTCACGGCTTAAAGTCCCTCCCGTAGGACTTGTTCCCTGAATTTTTCCGCCCTTAAAAATTCGATGACCTCCGCCGGGTATTTGAACCCACGTAGTACGAGTCATGAGGTGGGAACATTACCTCTAGACTACGGAGGCCGCTTGCCAAACACTTACTTGCACATATCAGTCTTCAACGTACTCCCCTCTGGAGTCAACACATTTTCTCCAACGTTCTGGAAGCATCCTGATGCCCTTTTCAAAAAAAGGCTTGTGGTTGGCGGCGTATCCACTCCCAGACAGTCTGGATGACGGCTTCATTGTCCAAAAACCGCATGCCTTGCAAGTCTGATTTGAGCCTTCTGAACAGATAGAAATCACTTGGGGCCAAATCGGGACTGTACGGCGGATGTGTCAGAATGTTCCATTTCAATTTCTGGAGTGTTTTCATTGTTATTTTGGCCATATGGGGTCATGCATTGTCTTGAAGGAAGGCTACCCGCTTTCCACCTGTCTTCCACTTGGATCGGAACTTTTCCTTCACGTCTATTACCAGGAAGTCTGAATAATAAGCTGTATTGACTGTTCTGGCATCTGTCAGAAAGTCTACATGGATAACCCCCTGCCAGTCCCAGAAGAACGTTGCCATCACATTTCCTGCCGAATGGCTTCTCCGCACGCTCTTGGCTTTGGGAGAACTGGTATGCTGCCACTCGCGTGATGACTGCTGGGACTTGGGAAGAAGTAGTGCACCCATGTTTCATCGGTGGTCACTATAGACTTCAAAAATGCATCACCATCATCTTCAAACTGCTGTAGGAAACGACTGGCAGCATGCATGCACACCGTTTTGTTCACATCCATCAAAGTGCGTCGTACCCACCGTGCATTCACCTTGCGATAGTGCAGGTGGTATTTCACGATATCTTCTACACTACCAGCACTGATGGACAGCATTGCTCCAAGTTCCTTGATAGTGATGTGCATATTCTCACGAATAAGTGCGTCTGCACGATCAGTGTTTGGCTCGGTGACAGATGTTCGCGGCTGACGATCATGCGTTTCATTCTCCATGCACTCTCTGCCCTCTCTGAAGCACTTACACCACTCAAACACACGGGTCCATGAGAGACACTCTTCCCCCTACTGTTGTTGGAGCCTGTGGTGAATTTCAGCGGATGGCACATTTTCTCCAAGGAGGAATTTGATCACAATACGTTGTTCCACGCTCCACGGTACCTTCCATTCGCTTATCACTCTAGCAACTCCCATACAGGACTGAACAGGTTCTAATCCGAAGAGGAGGGAGGGTGGAGGTTGTGGCTTCACTCTCTTGAGGTCACACAGCTGCTGCGCAGTGAGGCTTGTTTACACACAAATCAGTCCCGGTCATATTTGAACCACCTTGCATTTACTTCAGTGTTGCCTGAAGACTTGTTCTGTTTCATAAGCACATGCACTAAACTGTATAAGCAGAATCATGCACTAGCTTGTTGACATTATCAATACTTGCTTGACGCTTCCTGGAGACCATGAATCTCTTGTCCTTTGCAGATCCTCCCCATTGGCTGCTGTCTCTCTTTTGTGCAGGGTACATGGGGTACTGCTGAGGGGTAGACAGCATTGGGTAATAGTATCCCCCACGCCTCTCCAGGCGATATCGATGAGGGGTAGCTGATGGATTTGATACTGGTCCTTCCAGCCATCCACCTCATGGAAACATATGAGTGTTCTCAAGTATTTGACATTTAGCTTCTTTTAACACTTTCCAAAGTTTGTCTGTGCATTAATGGTGAACAGTGAGTTTCATTAAACTTATTTAACCAGGTGTGACTTCTGCGTCATTTGCAAGGGAAACTGAACCTTAAGTTCAATTTCAAAATAAATGCAATACGTTAATTTTGAATTTAATCTTCCTTTAATTTCTTGGAAGATTCTGTTGCCTTTTTAAATTAATGAGAATGGAAAGGTGGTCTTTAATTGAACAGACATATTTTTTTCAAATTTATACTTCCTGCTTTTGTATACCTTATTGGTCTTGATGTTCATTTAGTGAAGATACAAACCCGTTGTTGCTAAGCTGTTCACATTACAAATATCTCTTCATATGGTCACAAAATACTTTTCATATATATTTATTTAATATTGATATCTAGAAAAAGATGTTTAAAATAAAACTTAGTGACTTAATTGTATCGTATTTTATATTATGTAACATCTTTTTATTTGCTGAACCGTTATTGAGGAAATAATGTTTATTTTGAGCTTCATGTAATAGTAGAGATTGTATTGACCAACACAAATCAAAATTAAATTTACCACATATCCTTGGTACAGACACCAATTTAGAATGTCATTTAAATCCATTTAGTAGTGTCACAGAAAAGGAACCTGTGACTATGAGACAGATGAACCTTTCCATGNGTGGAATGAAGATTGGCAGGGGAAACCGAAGTACTCGGAGAAAACCTGCCCCAGCGCCACTTTGTCCACCACAAATCCCACTTGACCAGACCCGGGATCGAACCTGGGTCGCCGCGGTGGGAAGCCAGCGACTAACCGCTTGACCTATGGCACGGCCTACTTACTTACTTACTTACTTACTTACGGAGCTGAGCCCTTCTTGAGGAGAAGCCAAATCTGCAGCTACTCAAGAATTTCACAGCATTTTATGGAACCCGAAAGTTCATTACCATGTTCACAAGAGCCCTTCACTGGTCCCTATCCTGGGCTAGATCAATCAAATCCATACCATCCCATCCTATCTCTCTCAGATGCATTTTAATATTGTCCACCCACCTATGCCTTGGTCTTCCCAATGTTTCCTTCCTTCCAACTTTCCCAACAATATTCTACATGCATTCTTCTTTCCCCCCATTTGTGCTACATGCCCTTCCCACCTAATCCTACTTGACTTGATCATTCTAATTGTACTTGGAGAAGAGTACAAGTTATGAAGCTTTCTTTATGCATACTTTACTATAATTTGGCCATAGTTTTGTTATCCCTCCTATCAGTGCTCAGCTCTGATCACATCAAAACAGCATTTGCTGAGGGCGATATCAACGTTGTCTGCCTCTGAAGAACGCTGGCTAGAATTCCTGACTCTATTTTCACTCTGCAGTGAATGGAGGTGAAATAAAGGTACGACAGCTCTAGTTTAGAGGTTTCTAATTCACATGCATACATGGTCAAGGATAATTAAATAATGGCTCCATTGAGCTGTGGGGTGTGACTGAGATCCCTTGGTACTTGGGTCATCAGTAGCCCACTGTATTAGCTCCTTACGATGGGAAGAAGAAATGGAGCACTTGTTGGAATGAGAATTGAATAAGGAAACTAGATTACTTGAAGAAAATCTGTCCTAACTGCAACTTTATACACACGAATCCCACATGAAGTGACCTGGAATTGATTCTGGGCCATCACATTGAAAAGTTAGCATCTACTGGCCTGAGCTGCAGCTTGGCCAAAAAAACTGGATACTAATTAGTACCATTAATTAGCTTTACCTCTGGAGAAATATCACTGGAATACATAGAATGAGAGGCAGCTTTGAGCTTCATTGTGACAGGAAAACCAAGCTTTAATGTTTGCAGTCTGTATGGTGCAACACCTGCAAATTCGTTGGTGCTATAAATGATAGCCCGTCATTGGGCCATGTTTTCATTAACCCAATTCAGTTATTAACCTAATTTTAATATGATCCCCCAGTCATCATCTTGGTCCTTCAAGTGCTGGTGTACCATATAATTTGACATGTTTTCATAGCAGAATGAGATGGACAGTGGGAAATAAGCTTACCATCAATTTGAGATGTATCTTCGTCATCTTCACCCCCTTCATCACCTTCCTCTCCTCTGAAAGATTCAGGCGTGTCTAGACCATAATAGCTGAACCAAGCTGGATCCAGCCTGACAAAGAATCAACAAGTTGCATTTTACAAATCATGTTATGGTCCATGTCACACTAAATTTGTGGTTATTTATCATCAGGAAGTGATGATAAAGTGACCTGAAGTTCTGATGAATACGTGAAACCTTTTGAAATGGCCCAAAATATTTGTCATCATTGAACTGTATGGAAAATATGTAGCAAGGAAGGCGAACATAGAATGATACAAGAGTTGTATCATATTATTTTTAAATAAATATTATTCCAATATGTATTAGATAAAACTTTGAAATGTAAATAACACTCAAATTAAAAAAAAATGAAATATACTCATGTAATTAAAAAGAAATAATGAAAATGAGGTTTCAGATCATGCCAGAAAAGTTTACTACAGTACTTGCATGGCAGTTTTATAACTCCTATGCTGCAAATATTAGCAAGAGTATAGAGTAAATTTCGTAATATCTTCGGATGTTCTCTAGTAGGTTCATAGTAGAAAACAAGAAAGTTACAATTTTATGTATGCTACAAGATGTCTTGTAATTTGATCCTGGGACACTAATAGAAACATAAAGTTCTGGGGTTTAGCTTTTCATTTGTTTGTCAGCTTGCCAGTTGTTGCAGTCGCTTAATATAAAACCTCTTCATATTGTTATGCCCTCAAATACAATACCTAGGGTTATTACTCCAATTTCATAGCTCTTTGACCAACCTGCATAGGAAGGCTGCGCCATAGCTCAAGTGGTTAGTTGCTGGCTTCCCACCATGGCAGCCCGGGTTCAAGCCCGGGTCTGGTAAAGTGGGATTTGTGGTGGACAAAGTGGCGCTGGGGCAGGTTTTCTCTGAGTACTTTGGTTTCCCCTGCCAATCTTTATTCCACCAAATTCTCCAGCATCATAATCACCTAGTGCAGGTACAATAGGCCAATGAGTGGCCAATGTGCTGAGTGGACCCAGCTGGACTCCACCCCCCACTATGCAAAACCTGAGTAAGACCTTTATAAGCAGGAGGAATGGGGCTGTCTCCCTTCCACCTGTATTTCTGTCATTCACAAATAATAATTGTATCATGGCATAGAGATTCGTTACTTGACAAATACCTCAAAACCAACAAGACAACAGCCGTTGCTATGCAACAGCATTGTAATCTTGCCTCTACAACACTAGAGTTACTGTTGGAAATAGTGTTTTCTACTTGGTCTTGGCAAAGGGGTTATAAGGAAGGTGGGGTAGAATACCTCCACCATGCCCCTGCAAGTCATAGGAGGCAATGAAAAGGGAAGGGCCAGCAGCATATACAAATGACAGACCCATCCTTTCATCAGAGAGGGCACCCCACAAAACCAAGATCGTAACTGTCAAACAGAATAAATATCTGATCATGAGCCTCAGTTGCGGCTTGACACGAAGACCTACTGACTGACTGATCAACTGTCAGTCACAATGTGACTTTGACTTTGACTTGAACCCAGTTCAGTTGAAAGTCATCTTGTGAAAAGAAGACTAGGGGGTTGGTGTGAAATAGCCGCCAGCCTGGGAGTTGTCAGTTGAGAGATAGTTCTGTACCTGAGGCTGTGGAGAAAATAGTTGCAAGAGTGCTCAGTTGAAAGTTAGGCAATGAAGAGACGATTTTATGTGTAATGTTTGAATGTGAATTCAGTGAGGCTGTTATAGTTCGCATATTAAAATCTGTTGCCAGTTAACAGCTAGTGGATACTGTAACAGACTGAGAACACTAGTCTGTGTATGCTGTGGTGATTTGTAAAGCGTGGAGATCAGCGATAATGTAAAAGTTTGTAGTTCCGAGTGGTGTGTATAGGTGGTCAGTCGCAGATCCAAACCCTGCCTACAGTCACAAACGTACATATTAAAGTGTTCTAAAAACGCAACAAAGATTTTAAATGCAAAGTTGATGAGAAATTTTGTTGTTGCTCAGTGTGTTCAGTGATAATACATTGGTCTTGTTTACTTGGGTACCTGATTCATGTCTAGTCCAATATTGGCTATCTTTGACAAATATTTGGAGAGTCCTCAGTTAATCCAGCTAAATAATAGGACAGTGTTGTGAAGGATGCCGCATTTGCTTCTTCCTTGTCAGTCCTTTCTAAATTATGGTCTTCCTCTTGCATTGTTTGATATTAGGTAGACTCTGTAATTCTTGTAACATAGTTATATAGTGTACAATGAAAGAAGGAATTTTATCTTGTGATTGAATCCATACAAAGACGTCTGCATTACCTTTGGTTGTTGTCAGCCTTGATACGATGTTCAGCTTCCCACAGTGACAACACAGTGAGGACATCTTCAGGATCAAGCCCAAGGTCTCGCTTCAGCCTGGCTCTGCTGCTGGTGAGGTCATCAGTAGGCAACACAAACGGCAACTCAGGCCGGTAGCTGAAATTAATGTTGTCAGTCTGTGTGTCATAAAATGAGCTGCAGATATTTACCTGACTTTATTAAAGTAAAATTACCCCACTTCATGTTACAGATGAGTCACTGAATGTAGGTGAAGGTAAAGTTATCTTTTTGCATGGAGCAAAATTCTTATATTAAAGTTAATTGTTGTTCAGCTAGTCAAGAAATTCAGTGCCTTTATATAGCCTAAAGATTCATTACTGTGTTCACAAAAGCCCATACTGGCCCTCCTTGAGCCAGATGAAACTAGTCTAGGCCCTGTTAGGTCTAAAAATTTTGTAACAGTGGTATATTAATACAAATATATTATGTTTCGGGACATTATCCATTGTCCTCTTTTTACTTTAAACACAACATTTTGGAGACTGGATTCTGTCTTCATCTTCAGGTGTAACCTACTCAGGACACCAGCACAAGATAGGGTATATAAACCAAGCACAGCACAAACCATCCATGAGTGTTAAGACAAATATTAAAAACCTTAAAAAAATTCATATTCATGAGGCCTAGAACCTATGTCCATGCTCTGTTTGAAAACTGTTGTTGTTTAAAGTCAGAGTACTATCAGAATAGAAGTCATCACTAAAGAGATAAATTCCTTCTTTGATTCATATTTTGATGCTCAAAACTTTGCCAAGAAGTCCTTGAGTACAAATATTTGTTTTATTCAGATTTTACCTGCGTTTTGATGGTGGTTGATATGTGAGATGTTGATTGCGTTTCCTTTCATTTGATCCCCCATAGTAGCGATATTGGTTCACTGCACCTGAAAGAAATTAATTGATCCATTAAGGGAAGAAAAGGGGGGAAAAAAACATAAATCTATCCCTGTAACAGGCTTTTAAGGTTGATAGGGTTGTGTGATATCAAGGCTTCCACATTTTCTCTAGACAGTCAGTTCCCAGATGGCAGTAAGGTTGTCAGCTTTACCCTCCAGCCGCTCTTTAAACCCCCCCCCAAGGAAGATTTCTGTTAGAGGCTGAGTCAATCCCAGGGCCCTAGTGCGGCTGCAAGGATTGGGTAAATAGAAAAAATCCACCTCATTGGGCTCAAACCTGCAACCTTCCGGCTTGTAGCATAATGTCTCAACCAACTATGCTACTGCATGCCACCAATTGGTACATTAATGATACATAATTGTTTATCTCAAATGATCCACTTAGTTATTACCAAAGAAGGAAAGCTAAATATAAAATTTGTGCAGATGGAATGTTTTTTGTTTTATATTCTACAAAAATTACCTTTACAAAAGTTGCATATATTTCTAATATACAGTACCTCACAGAATTTCAGGAATCTAAGTAGTGCTAATGTAGTTCCCACCTGAGAAGTTCTCACAAGTGTCATATTGTTATTTTTATGACAGGATATTAAACATCAATAAAATAGGGTGGCCTATAATACTAGGATATTCATACCAAGTTTCATGAAAATTCATCATTTGATTGAAAAGTTATTTGAGGTGTACAAACATGTGGACATTATAGTATGGACATTTCTTTCCATATAAATAAAAGAAAGTAGGCTAAAAAGTGTCCATTAGAGTTTAAATAAGTCAGACACCTGAATAGTTGAATGAATTTGGACAATATTACCTTAGTTGGCACAATGTCAGAATAACATACAAGGAAATGGCATCTACAGCTGATAACTTACCAGGGTCACCATACAGTTCAGACTTGAGGAGAGCATTCTCAACATGTTTATCAAGTGCTGCCTTCCCCACACCATACTGGTAACCCTTCTCATATTGTGACACAGTTTTTCCATTACCCTGGCCCTCTTGCTGATCAACCAAGTCTCCATTGCCTAATTCCTGGGAGTATTGAACCCTCTGGCCTCCTGGATAATGTATGTTTCGCCCTGTTGATTTTCCCTCATTGCCATGCTGCTCATGATGTCCAATTTTGTTCCCATTGTCCCATGCCTTACTGATTCTTGATATGGCAATTGGTAGTGCAGTTGGAAGTTCATCCTTATCATGCTTGCTTGAGGCTGGAATGATTTTGGATATTATGATGATTTATTTTTGCTGATTTCAGAACTAAGGGTGGTAATTGTTAGAGGAATCTCATGAAATCAAAATGTAAACATTTTAAAAATATAAATACCAAGAAAATATACAACTATTATGTTTCTAGACATTATCTATTATCCTTTTTTTTTATTTAAAACAGTGTTTGGGAGACTGGATTCTGTCTCCGTCTCCAGGTGGAACCTACCCAGTTGGGCCCAATTGATAGAGCTAATCCATATTTCCAGAGATAGGGACTCTCTCTGTCAATTAGGTCCAACTGGGTATTTTCTGAAGATGGAGACAGAATCCAATCTTCAAAACGTTGTGTTCTAAATAAAAGCAGGATGATGGATAATGTCCAGAAACACAATAGTTGTATTAATAGACCATCATCACAAACTTTTAAAAGAAATATACTTTCACAGCATATAAGAGGATTATGCACATTATTTACAATCTAAGAACCCAATGTAGTCCCTCTTGGGACAAAGGCCAGCAGAAAATTACTGCTGTGCTCAGAGTAGTCACAACCTCTCCTCTCATCAAAGAGGAGGTCCCATTTCAAACCATATAATTATATCAGTGTCTATGTTGTAATTTCTGTTTATGTTACAAAATAAATTTGGATGTGAAGAGCACAGATATGCATTCTTGTGGTATGTATTCGAGATGTCAGTTCACATCATGTTTAATTTTAATTAAACTTAAAATATATGTATATATCTGAAGATGTTATGAATTTTCCCAATTTAAATATGCAGTTTGATTCAGAAACTGTCAAGAAAAAGTAAATGGTAAAAATTACAAGCCATATTTGTATGCTTTTTCTTTTGTTATTTTGCTTGTAAAACAATACATTCAAATTAAATTGTAAACGACAAAACTGTCTTAGCTATCTGTAATTTAAAATTACATTTTAAAATTTATACAGTCAAATTACAGTCTCAAGTGAATAAATGATTAAATAAACATAAGTAACACAAAAACAAGAATGCAAGTTTACACAGTTTAGTCAGGTTACTTTCCAATACATCAAATCTTCCTTATATCTGTTTGTTTTTCATTTCTATCATTATCGTGGTTCATCAGGTCTCTAACCAGTTCCGCAATACATTTTTTTTTATGTCATAATCTCTTTGTAGTCTTACCTCGCTTTTGAGTAGTGGGGTAGAATTTGTTTTCAGTTGAAGGTCGATTCTGTTGGTTTCCAAACAGCATCACCTCCTCTGCTCTCTTCACTGTAATAAGAAAATATGTCTCCATCCACTAAATCTGAATGTGCTTGTGTTTTGTGTGTACCTGACGCTGAAACGTAGCTAGGAATTTGAGGGACTGTACCTAAAGAAAATTGCTTCCTACAAATGGTGGTTTGAACGGCTGTTGTACTGCGATGTGGAACGCAAATGAAAAAACTACCACATTATCACTTTTCCTGGATAGTCTCTTTCCAAAAACAGAGATACCATGTATGCGAACCAGAAGACGTCAGATGATGCTGGATGACCTTGGGGACAGAAGAGGATATTCTTATTTGAAGGAAAAATCTTGTGATCGCATTAGGTGGAGGAACTGTTTTGGAGGAGACTGTGGACCTGCCGTTTGACAGATTACTGATGAATGAATGAATGAATGAAATGGTAGACTGTACCAGACATAGCTCAGGAGGATGAGATATGAAGTTCATACAGAATTTTGGTGGAGAAACTACTTTGATGTTCACCACTTGGAGGACAAAGAATGGGAACTGGAGGGTAATAGTAAGATGGATTCTAAATCGTATGAAATAGACTGTGAAGACATGGATGAACCCAACTAAGGATCATGTTCAGTTGTGGGCCTTTGTTTCAGTAGTGTTGAAACTTCATGTTCTACTATAAATGGACAGCATTCTTTTCCTGACAGAATTTTTATCATTTTTCTCTTCTTCATTGTGATTGCAATAGTCCTGAGGCTAAGTCAGCCACCTATCCAACAAATACTCTTTCTCACAGGGATAAACCAGGGCATTCTCCATGCAGATCTTTGCTTTTGTGCTCAAACATCTTTCTTATTCATGAAAGCCTTTGCATTATGTTAGATTCCCTCACTGTCCATGAGATACGCTCTAGTGGGTTTTCTCCATTGGTTGAAATTAGGTAACAGCCATTCTACACCACAATACCAATGATCAGAGAATCTTTTATATAATATTCTGTACTTTACAGTAAAAGTATGTTGCAATGTGTGGCATTTTTAACTAGGTAATTCATCACCTCTGTAAAGATATAACAATCATATACATTTCTTCGTTCTGTCACTCATGTGGTAATAGAGAAAAATATCATCTGTTTTTGCAAGAGTGTCTTCTGGGATGTGATACAGTGTAGTCTGGTATAAATTCATTAATGTTTCATAGGAACTTTATGCTTTTGCCATCGTGGTTGAAGAATAAGCCAAGCAAGCAATCAGCAAGAATCAGGCCCCATTGCTTGCTGGTTGCTTACATGGGTTACTCTTCAACCCTGAAGATGGAGGCAGTACATTCCCTCGAAACTTCATTGAACGTCTACCGGACTACACAATGTCACATTCCAGATGATAGTATTTGTCCAGTGTTGTGTAGCCACAATACTGATAAAGTTAAAGTAAAAGTAAAGCTATCCGTGTAACAGACCATGAAGGCCCATAGGGTTGTGAGAGGTTGAGGGTCTGCTCAATCTGCTCAAAGATGGCAGTAAGGTTGTCAGCCTTACGTGCCGTCCGCACTTTACTCCCCAGGAAAATTATTTAATTAACTTCCAGTACTCATTTCTGTTAGAGGCTGAGTAAACCCCAGGGTCATAGTGCAGCTGGAAGGATTAGATCAATTGAAAAAATCCAGTGACCTCATCGAGATTTGAACCCATGACCTTCCGGCTTGTATGCTACCACGTGCCCCCGGCCTCGATACTGATCGCATCACCAAATAGCAAACTGAGAACAAGATGGGTACACTTCACAGTCCCCAGTATGAGCACTTCAAATCTGATTGGTTCTACTTTTCTTCTGGCTCCGGCTTCCTAAGTAGAATAACCCAGGACCCATCTTCCTTTAACTAAAGCAAGATACTCCATGCATGCTTAAGAACATGCTGCTGTGTCATTGTGAACAGTGTACAAAAAGAATTCATTCCACTGATTCTGTTTATTGTTCTGCTTTTACAGTCGAGGTCAGCTGTACCTAGGTATATAATAGTACCAGTCGCCAGTCTTCCTCATGTTATATTGCCACAATATACTTCATTCCTATAAAATATAGGGGGCACACATTAGTGTAGTTGGTTGAGGCACTGTGCTACAAGCTGGAAGGTGGTGGGTTCCATTCCTGATCATGTCACTGGATTTTTCTAATTTAACTAATCCTTCCCGCTGCACTGTGGCCCTGGGGTTGATTCAGTCTCTAACAGAAATTAGTACCAGGACTGTTCCTGAGGGGTAAAGGGCAGCTGGTGCTTAAGGATGACAACCTCACTGCCATCTGTGAGCCGATTGTCTAGAAGATGTGGGATCCTCAGCATCTCACAACTCTATAGGCTTTCACGGACTGTTACAGGGATAGTTTTCCCTTTTTATACCTGTAAAATATATGGTGCTTTTTACCCTCCTCTGCCAAACGCTGTAACCGTAAAGTATCCTTAAGAAACTACATGTACTCAAGTCCGTGAGAAACCACCAGTCACTCAGCTACTCAAGAATTTCCAACATTTTATGAAACCTGAAGGTTTATTACTATGTTCACCGTAGTCTTTTACCGGTCCCCCTCCTGAGCCAGATGAATCCAATCCATACCACCCCATTCTAAGTCTTCCTAGTGTTCTCGTCTCCTCTGGCTTTCCTACCAAAACTCTGTGTTCATTTCCCTTCTCCCCATGCATGCTACATTCCCTGTCCATCTCCTCCTCCTTGACTTGATCAGTATACTTGGAGAAGAGTACAAGTTATGAAGCTCCCTATTATGCAGTTTCCTCCATCCTTATATTTGTTAATCCCTTTTTGGTCCAAATATCCTACACAGCACCATGTTCTCAAATAGGTTCAGTCTTATCATATTCCCTTAATGTCAGAGACCACGTTTCACACCCATACAAAACTACAGGCAAAATTATAGTTTTATATATTTTAATCATACGAGTTTTAGACAGCAGACGACAAGGCAAAAGATTCTGAATTGGATGGTAGCAAGCATTACTCATATTCAGTCTGCTCTTAATTTCCTGATGACTTAAATTTTGATTTGTTACTTTCATTCCAAAATATTTGAACTGTGCCACATTTCAAAGGATCTATTAAGTATCCTTATGTTATGATTTTGCCCTGTGTACTGATGACGAGACATCAACATATCAACATACAAACAATACATAATTGTAATAGTAATAATAATAATAATAATAATAATGTTTTCCTTGTGCTTAATTAAGCACACCGCCATGAAGGCGTATGGGGGCGTGGATGTATGGCTGCAGCATTCTTCACCTTGGCACTAGATGGAGGTGAGCGGTCAGCTTCACGCTCCTTCCGCTTTACCCCAAGGGAAAGAGAGAGGCTGGGTGGACCACAAAGCCGGTCTGGACGCTATGGAGAAGAGAAAAATCTCCTGCCTTTGCCGGCAATCGAACCCCGGCCATCCATCCGGTACGCCATCGCTATATCGACTGAGCTATCCTAGCTCTTAATAATAATTTTGGTTCCAAAAAAGAGACCTAATATTGCGGAGGGCGGAAGAAGTATCCATTGCCACTTAATAGAATAAAGTTTATTTCCGTGACTGTACGCTTGTGACCTCTTTGCTCTTGGTGTAGATCGATGTTTGGTTGAGGGCAGGCAAGACATGCTCCAGGTGTACTTCTGTTACTGGGGAGGGCCAGGCGGCGGACACCAGCCAATCCTTCCACCCGTGTGCTATCGATTTGTATGCCGTCACCCACCACCAACCTGATTCCTTCCCTCCTGCCCCCAAACACACCCACCTGCTACTTGTTGCTTGCGGCGTGTAATTATATGGGTGAAATAAAGAGCTTAGTTTCCTAATCTCCAACTGCGCCTCTGGCTGTGTGCTGCTGGTGTATTACTACCGCGATGTGAAGTGAATATACATGCTGGTATCGGAATAGATGGGTTTTATCATGATGTGCAGAGGAATCCCAGCGATCCAGAAGGATCGGAGTTTGCATTTTCATGAGGAAAACATGTAAATGATTATTTCGTGTTTGCTAGCGCAGAGCAAATTGAAACGTTTCCGTTACGATAGATCCAAAACCATGAGGAACAGTATCAAAGTGGACAGAGAAAGGCCACGTACATGGCGAGCAAACGACAATTTCGTTTTCTCTTTTGGCGTGTTCGCATTTCTGCAGATTTGTTGACACGTTTAAGTTATTATATAGCATCCCACAAAAAATAACGCGACCTGCATGTGTTTCTGCGCCCGTCTCGAGCACAAATAGATACATGTTTTTTAAAGCGAAAATAATTTTGGAGAAAAATTGTACAGAATAGTGAATCACGTTTTTATATCCAATGGGGGCCTATGCCTTTTCCGTAAATTTTGCGGTTTTCGAGATAATTAAGCCTTATATTTAAGCCGTGTCACAGCTCGAGAGCAAATATGGTTTAAATCAAATTTTTTTCGGACACCCTTACTTGTCCGTCCCTCCTATTTTAAGGTTGTTTATAAGAAAACGTCGGAAGTTAGCTATTCTCGAATTGCAGTGCTAGAATCAATGACAGCGAATGTGCCAGAATCATTACCTTATGCCTACATTTTCTGACGTGTCTTTTTACTTATCCAGTGTCAGTTTTCGGACTTAAGCCTAATTCTGCCATGAAATTTTATTCCGAGATAGATATCAGAAAACTTATTACAGAATAAAATTATATGAGCAGAGAAGAATAATAAACCTTCTTTCCTTCCTTTTCTTTCTTGTTTCCTCTATAGCTTAGTTGGTTGAGGCACTATGCTACAAGCCGGAAGGTCGCGGGTTCAAGTCCCGATGAGGTCATTGGATTTTTTCAATTTACCTAATCCTTCCAGCCGCACTATTACCCTGGGGTCGACTCAGCTTCTAACAGAAATAAGTACCAGGAATATTCTTGGAATGTTCTTGGGCGTAATGAGCGCCGGCGCGTAGGACTGACAACCTTATCGCCATCTATGAGCCGATTGTCTAGAAAATGTGGGAACCTCAACATCTCACAACGCTATGGGCCTCCACGGCCTGTTACAGGGGATACCTTTACTTTTTTTTTTTACTCTAAATATTTTCCATTTATTGGAGATAATTCTGCAAGTTCTAAGTTCTGTATTCTCGGGGCTGATGTAATTTTCCGCCAAATACAGTTTTCTGCTAAATCTGGTATTCCTTTTTATAAAAGCTTATTGTATAAAAGTTGTCATACTCTGAGGGCATATAGGGACGTGCACCCAAAGCTCCACTCCTTCTGCACCTAACCACCAATTGGATGTGGTTGTCAGCTTCACGCTTCGGACGCTCTATATAAATATTCATTAGTTAAGCTGTCGGCCACAAGGAATTGGTACAGACTTGTTATACATGTCGGACCTCTCAGGTCCGGAATTCCATGGATCGGCACGAGTTTAGTTTGCAGTACTATGCCCATACTTAAATGCGTTTCCTATGGGTACGCGGTAGCGTATGTAGTTGAGGCACTATGCTACAAGCCGAAAAGTCGCGGGTTCGAGTCCTGATGAGGCGACTGGATTTTTCAGTTGACCTAATCGTTCCACCTCACTATGGCCCTGGGGTCTACTCATCTAATGAGTACCAGGAATCGTCCTGGGGGGAAAGGGTGGCCGGCGCGTAAAGCTGACAACCTTACCACCATCTGTGAGCTGATTGTCTAGGAAGTGTGGGAGTCTCGATGTCTCACAACCCTATGGGCCTCCACAGCCTGCTACAAGGATGGTTTATCTTTTTTGTCGTTTCCTCTGCTTATATTAATGTATAACAAGAAATTGTGTTGCAATGGTTTTTGTTCAGGTTGTTTTGGTACCGTGAAATATTTACCATCCACGGTACATGGAACACGGAACATGTCCTCTGCAAAGTGAAATATTTTGCTGAATGTAAGATCCTCATAGCGGTGAGTATGGAGAGCACAATTTGCTGGGATGTAACGCCACGTAGTCTTCTTGCTTCGCTTTCTTCCGACCCTGACGATGGAGGCGATACGTTTATACGAAAATCTGGTTGATTTTCACCGCACTACACATTGTTATATCGCAGATCAGCGATCTGAGAGCCCCACATCCAAAGGTGTGATAGATCTGCTGTTTTCAATGTAGACGAACCATTTATGGCACGCGTAATACACGTTTATAACCCGCGAGCTTCGGTCTCTTTGACACGTGTAGAACTAATGTTTTCCTATAATCAAACATCTGAAGTGGGCTTTGTCTTTCTAGTTTTTGCCGTCGAGAAGGGAATCTTATTATGGATGTCTAGAATTCCCAGAGGAAAGCGAAATAAAATTAAAATGCTTCAGATTACTGACCTACTGAGGAATACTATCTTCTGGAATGTGACACAATATAGTCCAGTAAGAATAAACCGATGTTTCAGAGGAACATTATCTCCGTCTTAAGGGTCGAAGTGCAAGCTAAACAAGAAACTCGCTCACTCATCTTTCTGCTTTTGTTTTTCCTTGCTCTCTGATAACTTGGCTATATGTTCTTTCGAAACGTCGGTGAATTTCTACTAGGCTACACGGCGTCGCATCCCAGAAGATAGAACCCTTCATAGTCACCGCTATGAAAACCTCAAATCCCACTGACGTACTATTTCTTTGGCTAATATATTAGTATTCCGACCTGAGACTTGTTTCCCTATCGTCCATCAATTGAACTGAGTGACGTATAGAACCTGGTACTATACTGAAAGGTTATTTACCCTAACTACTCACGATGCCTTAATTTCTAACGTGGTACAGTGACAGTCCAAAGAGAAATTGTAAAGTAAGCACAAACAAAAAAAAAACACACAGAAAGAAAAGACAAACAAGGCAATTTGTGTCGTATAAACAGTAATAAAATTTCATTAAGTACAATCATGCCAACCATTGTGCAGCGAGATATATTGGAGATGTTGAAAAAGGACGTAAATAAATAAAGCATTAAACCGAACTGCGTGTAACATCCAGCCAGTTGTACCGGTATTGTTGACTTTAAGTCTGTCTGTCATTTTCTCGATGTTTTTTTAGAAAGAACTCATCATGGTCACATCTGTGATAAAATTAAATCCTTCATGTGTGTTCGAAAATTACATACAGCAAACCCATCTACGCGAATTTGGCCAACGCGGATTCGAAGCTAACCACTCGCTTCCATCTGGTACCTAGATTAACAATTTCTGGAGCTGTACATCCACTTTTCTATGCTTCACCATGGCGATGTGCTTAATTAAGCACAGGGACAGCTTTACCTTTTTTATCGTATACACTATCCAGTTGGTGCGAATAGTTGATATAGTTATAATAGAATTTTCTCATAACTTTCTATAGGCATGTGTTAGTTAGTTAGTTAGTTAGTTATTGGAGAGGGTGGGTTTCCCCATGCACTTAGACCTGTCTTGGTCCATTGTGCTTCCCTCTATGATATTCTACCAGTCTCTATATCCTACCGGTAATGGTGCTTACCATCAGTCCCGCCCAGCCAGCGAGATCGGTCTCTACTAGCTTGAGCGGTATCTATGATGCTTCCCCCATCTACCAGAGGTATTAGAGAATACTTTTGGGCGGGAAACGTCCGTAATTTTGCTCAGTGGCCTCCTTTGGAGACATGAGGTTCTTTTACGTGCCGTAAAGCTACGACACGGGACCCACGGCTTAAAGTCCCTCCCGGAGGACTTGTTCCCTGAATTTTTCCGCCCTTAAAAATTCGACGACTTCCGCCGGGTATTTGAACCCGCGTACTACGAGTCATGAGGTGGGAACGTTACCTCTAGACTACGGAGGCCGCTTTAGGCATGTGTTACTTCGAAATAACACCGTGAGCACCTAAATAGACATAGTTGTCCGTCTTTGCACTTGGCCAATATCGACGAACCACCAGTGATCTGCGAATCCCACTTTAGACACAAGTAGATAAGCCGTGTCAATGTATTTAAGCCAATCAGTAAAGTGTAGCTTATATGTGCTTCTCTGCCACTTTCATTTATCTCTGTAATATAGCTCTGGATGCTGATTAGCAAAATTACTGCAGCAACTTCATTCATTCATTCATCTGTAATCTGTCAGACGACAGGTCCACAGTCTCTTCCAAAACAGTTCCTCCAGTTAATGCGATCTAGAGCTTTCTCCTTCAAATGAGAATATCCTCTTCTGTCCCCAAGGTCATCCAGCATCTTCTTACGTGTTCTTTCTCGTCTTCTTGTCACTTCTATCCGCCCCTCTATCTTTCCTTCAATAACTTCTTTTAGAATGCAGTTTCTGCGTAAAACATGACCAATCCAATTAGCCTTCCGTTTTCTTATTTCGTGTAGGATATTCCTCTGCTCAGTGACTCTAAATAACACTTCTTCAAGGCATATACTGTCTTCGCTTGCTCGGAAGCCGGGATCGTGGGTTCAAATCCAACACAAGACATGGTTGTTTAGTGTGTATGCATGTATTCTGTGTTTAGGTAGAGGCATTGCGACGAGCTGGTCACTCGTCCAAGGAGTCCTACCGTCTGCAAATATGATCAGTTGAACCTGAGAAATTAGCCCTATGCTGCAATGTGGGAGCGAGGAAAAAAAAACAGGATCCATAGCAACGTAAGTTCTCGTTGGAACCGTGATCATGCGATCCTTTTGTCTATATTGCTATACGAGATAACTCTAGCAACTTCTGAAAGTAGTATTTTAAATTGTCAGTTTATTTCGTTTGATAGCAATATGAATCGAACGTCTGGGCTGAGTGTGCAACGTTCCTACTCTGTATTCTCGAGTTCCCGGTTTCGAGCTCTCGTTCCAGAGATCAACTCGCCTAACCGAGACTTCTCGTAATTGGTTTCCGTCCTCCCAGACAAATACCGAGATAATCCTCTAAAATAAGTAATAAGCACTTCGTTGCACACGTCCTTCCATTCTCATTCTCAAATGTCACGCCATTCCATGCTATATAACGCGCCACTCTGTATATGACACAAGCATACTCATGGTCAAAACCGAAATTACAGGCTGCATGAGACCTGGGAGCCTTACATTTTATTTCTAATTCAGTATATACGTGACCTGTAGTCCGAAAGCGAACTATACCGACCGAGAGACCGCCGCTTGTCGGCGAAGTTAGTGCTAACTTTTGCGGATATAGGGTGTCGCGTGGTCAGCGCAACGAATCACCACGGCCGTTAATCTCGGTTTTCTAGACCGGAGCCGCTCTTTCCTTGAAATAGCTCCTCAATTATCGTCACGAGGCTGAGTGGACCCCGTTTCAGAAGCGCTACTTCTCAGAAAATCCGGTAGCGCCGGGAAATGAACCCGGACCTTTTGATCAGTAGCCTGGGACGCTGACCACTAGACCACAGAGGCACAGAACATTAAAATGCATTATGTGGTCTGCGAATTCTTATAAATTTATGCATTCCTACAAATTGGCTAGACCGGAAATTTTGATCAGGCAGTAACGCAGACCTGAGCTACCATCTGTTCTGTAACTAACTCATCCGATAGGTAAGATCCAAAAGTTGTAACGATGGTACATTAATACGGATATTATGACCGCGCCATAGCTCAAGCGGTTAGTCGCTGGTTTCCCACCGCGGCGGCCCGTGTTCGATCCCCAGTTTCGTCAAGTGGTATTTGTGGTGGCCAAAATGGCGCTGGGGCAGGTTTTGTCCGAGTACTTCGGTTTCCCCTGCCAATCTTCATTTCAACAAATTCTACATCATCATAATCACCAGGGGCCGGCTACAATAGGCCAATCAGTGGCCGCCGTGCTAATTGGACCTAGTTGGACTCCATCCTTCACTAAGCGAATTAAAAAAAAACGCAGACCTGTGTTTAGGAGGTGTCCAGTTCGAATCTCAACTGGTGCACCAGATATTGTGATTTTTCGTGATTTTCCACAGTCTGCCTAGGCATAAGCTGAGGTATTACCTTAAATAAAGTTAGGACCGTTTTCTCCATATCCTCATTCTATAATTCGACGCTAGAGCGTTGTTATAAGAAGTGCAAACGAATAAGATAACTCGCTGACATTTGAATCTGCATCTGTATATACCTGACAGTGTTGTGGCATTATATTCACAGAAATCAGTGAGTTGTACATGAAGTGTTCTTATGTCCGCTGTCAGCATGCTCTAATTCAGATTTGGGTAAAAGAAAAAGGTACTTAATTTTGTAATTAAGTACTGTGCTGTGGTGGAATATGGGGGGAGAGGAGGTACAGCTCTGCTGTTGACTTCGGCACTGGATGGAAGTGAGAGGTCAGTTCCACGGCTCTGGCGATTTACCCCAAGGGACAGATCCCCCGGTACTTATGGTATAGGAGGCTGGATGGGCTCCAGAGTCAATCTTGACCCTGCCAGAAATAGAACCCTGGCCGTCCATTGCGTAGCCCAGCCGCTGTACCGACTGAGCTATCCCAGCTCATCCCTGTTTAACACAGTTACCATTACATCTGACTTCAGGAAATGGTTGCTTTGACGGTATTAATTACTGCATGTGTGTTGCTGGTTTATTGATTTTTCAGTATAGGCCCAGCCCATACAAATTGAAATGTGAGAGTATTTATTAATGTGTGTGTATGTGTGTGTGAGCGAGTGCTAGGTGAACTTATTATTCGTTTTTAGATCTAGAAAGGAAGCAAGTTTTAGGATGGATCTGTGTTCCACAATTTTCTTTTGACGCTCACATATATATACGAGTATATCAATGCTGTTAAAGCAAGTAAAAGTTAAAAAAAAAAAAATTAAACGTATCCCTATAACAGGCCATGGAGACCCATAGGGTTGTGAGACGTCGAGGGTCCCACATTTTCTAGATATTCGGCTCATAGATGGCGGTGAGGTTGTCAGCCTTACGCGCCGGCCGCCCTTTACCTCCAAGAATATTCCTGGTACTCATTACTGTTAGTGGCTGAGTCGACCCCAGGGCCATAGTGCGGCTTGAAGGATTAGGTAAATTGAAAAAATTCACCTCATCGGAATTCGATCCCGTGACCTTCCAGCTTGTAGCATAGTGCCTCAACCAACTACGCTACCGCGTGCCCGTTAAGACTTAATAATTACGTAATTCAGTTATCAATTTATGTGCAAAATTGCAAGTAATATATTGTCACCATGTGAAAATTGGCAAATATTATCTTGAAGTTCACACCATTAATGTTCGGAGATATTAAAAACTCTTAGGTGTGTTCACTGGAGAGCACGCGGTAGCGTAGTTGGTTGAGGCACTATGCTACAAGCCGGAAGGTCGCGGGTTCAAGTCCCGATGAGGTCACTGGATTTTTTTAATTGAAGTAATCCTTTCAGCCGTACTATGGCCCTGGGGTCGACTCTGCCTCAAACAGAAATGAGTACCAGGGATATTCTTGGAATATTCTTGGGTGTAAAGGGCGCCGGCGCGTAGGACTGACAACCTTACCGCCATCTATGGGCCGATTGTCTAGAAAATGTGAGAACCTCAACATCCCACAACCCTATGGGCCTCCACGGCCTGTTGCAAGGATACCTTTACTTTTTTTTAGGTTTGTTCATTGTCTATCCCCATACCAAATACGAAAACCCTCATCGAACACAAGGACTTTGGACCTTGTGTTCAACAAGGTCTTTCATACGGTTACATCGTCGTTAAATAGCCAACTAAAATACCATAAGGACCTCTATCCCGTTTCTCATTCGATGTCTGTTGTATACTGCTTGCTTTGGTGCTTACCTTTGGAGGCGATTGGTTCTGCCTCTAGGGCTGCCTGTTTAGTGTCTTCTAGCAATGTATTGGGTAGAGAAGCCGCAGCGGCTACCAGGAGGGCTACCAGGCCACAGGTCGCTGCCACCCCGGCCATGACTGCCACTTCTTTGCCGCTTTATCGAGCTCTGAATCAAAAACAAGACACAGGTTGTCAAAAAGAATGTTCAAATGCAACCTTTCTTACACATAATTAACAGATTCTTTGTAATGTTAATTTCATCGCATTTAAATGCATTTTTTAAGAAAAGACAGGGTCTACAGTTTCTTACAGTGATTTGCATATACATTTTTAAGTGATTTATTTCTACAAAATCTCTTGCAAATACGAGGGTTATCTGGAAAGTAACCTCCCTTTAATTTAGACAACTAATGTAGGAACGGGAGAGAGCTCGCGCATGCGAGGTAGCGTCATATGACTCATTGCTTTGTAAACCATCACATAACTGGTCACATAGTGTTTGTTCTTGTCTCTACAGAGTGAGCTATGACGTATTCTGCGATTGGTAATCCCGCCAGCTGCGAAATTCGCTCTGCTGTTATCTGCTTTCTTCACGCATAGTACATGGATGCTGCGGAAATCGTGAATCGTGCGCGGTTTACGGCCAATTTGTAATGAGTGAAGGAACTGTAAGACAGTGGTGTAGTGTGTTCAAAAATGGGCGGGCAAACAAATGTTCAAGATGAAGAGCGAAGTGGTCGGCCATCTGAAGTGAGTGATAATCTTGTTCAAAGTGATGACCAAATAACTTGTGAAATACTGCGCTTCAGAATTTCAGAGCTTTCATGTGAATTTCCACAAATTTCACGCATTGTTCTCTACAGAATTATCACAGTTAGGTTATCATCACAAGTTTTATGCAAGATGAGTTCTGAAAATGCTCACGGGTGCACCTTTGACTTTATTAGAGCAATACCACAAACATGGCAATGAAAATGAAACCTGGGTTTCATTTGTGAATGTTGAAACCAAGGAGCAATCAAAGCAATTGATTCACACACATTCACCAAATAAACCGAAAAGAGTTTAAACAAACGTCGTCTGCTTGCCAGAAAAGCTGATGGCAACTCGTATTTTCTGGGACAGGAAAGAGTGCTGATGGTTGAATTTATGCAACAAGGGACGACAATAACGTCATAAGTGTACTGCGAAACACTAGAAACTGCGTAGCTCCATTCATAGGAAAAGGGCGTCGAGTGCTGATATCCGGTGTAGTGCTCCTCCATGATAACGCGGGTCTGCATACAGCTGCTCGCACTCGAGCATTGTTGGAGCTTTGCAACTGGGAGTTGTTTGACCACCCTCCTTACAGCCATGATCTCACTCCGAGCGACTGCCACTAGCTTACCTACCTGAAGAACAGCGCCTCAGCAATAATAAGGAGTTGAAGGAAGGTGTGAAAAAGTGGCTAAGCTTACAGGCGGCAAACTTCTTTGACACAGCCATACACAAACTTATTCACCAATACGACAGCTGTCTCGATTCCGGCGTTGACTACGTTGAGAAGTATCTTAAGTATGTACGTATTTTTGTAAAATTTATTATCTTATTGCTTGTTTTGTTAACAGCTCACATGAGGTTTCTTTCCGAATAGCCCTCGTATAATGTATATAATTTTCATGTCGTCATTCACACCGTAATCCTGCCGGAGATAGGGAGTAACTATCGATTGGGTTCAATTGAATAGGCTTTTACCTTAGAATGGAAACAGAGTCAGTTTCCAAGCGTTCTGTTTTCAAATAAAAAAGAAAACAGAACGACGGATAATATAAAAAAAAGTGAATAACTGTAGTATCCTGCCTGTGCGGCAGGAAAACTTCGTTGAACAACACAAGAATAAGTAACATTAACGAGAAGTTCTGTGAAGAACTAATCGCCTGTTTTCCTTTGATACGACGCGAATCTCACAGAAAATGGCGCGTCCAAGAACTCTTCTATTGTTGCGTGTATTTATTTCCATGGGAACTTGTTTACCGAGCCATTGCCTAGCACCGAATGGACAAATACACTTAGCCGAGCCGTTGCCTTGCAACGGTAAGGGGGATACACACAGACTGGTGGGAGGGATTTATGAAGTACGCCGTTGAGATTGGTTCAGGTGCCATGATATACATACCAAGCTGCATAAAGACTGGTTCAGGCATTTATAAGTTAATAAGGGGGGAGGACACATAGACACAGACAGCATGGAGATCGCATAAGCCTGCTTTTGGAAAGTGGGCTAAAATAGCTTTGACCTCTGTAATTACGTACTAGTAAATTAGTTACTGATTCATTTAAGCCATATATATGCTGATGAAGCATCCCACCTCATTTAATTTATTATTGATGTGTTGCGCAGAATTGTATCAACTTCAGTGGCAATGGGATTCCCAGTTATGCGAGAGTGAGGTTATGTGTCGTAAATTAGAACATGTTAAGGAATTCCAAATTCCAATAGAGTCTGAGTTACTGACGGCGTCGTTAAATAAGCTACAAACAATCTTATTTCAGGGTATGGTAAGGGTCGTAAAAGCAGTTCACGATCTCTTATTTTATTACCATCAGTTAAGTCCGTATGTAAGCGGTGTTTACGGCTTCAATTCTTATCCCCTCTGAAACGAAAAGAAAGTGTTTGTCGACTAACTTTAGCAATAAAATAAAGATTCTGTGATGATTGGATCAATATTCATGTCAGTAAGTAGATTGATTTATGATTGAATAATGAATTTGTTTAATTCCCTGATGTCTTTATGAGACAACTGCCTGAATTAAATCATATATACATCTCGGTTTTCAGATATCTCCATATAAGGAAACACCAGTTCCGTAAAATGCAGGATTTTGCTTGAAACTTGGTTACTCAGCTACTCAATAAACCCCTTGCGTTATACAAGTAAATTCTGAAGTATACTACCTGTTTCCCAAAAGTCAGCCACTTGGCTCTATCTTGATCCTGTTAAGATCCTGTTAAATTCAGTTCACGTCTGTGTTATATATCGCTCTAAGATACATTTTAATGTTTTTAACCTGCGTCTAGTTCTTTCAAATTGTCCCTTTTCTTGAAGTTTTTCGACCAATATTTTCCATGAAGAATTTTGTCTTCTGGGATATAGTGCCATATAATCCTGTGAAATTCAACCATTTTCCGTACATTTCTCATTTTACCCACGCGTAAGACACGTCTCTACCTTTTTATCGTTGATATAATCGCTTTAACAATACTGGGTGCACACATAAAACGATAAAGCTCTACGTTATTTGGGGTTCCCCGTCCTGGCACTAAAGAAGTAAATGTACCCGTATCTGAAGTAATTTCAAGAAATCTGGCTGGCCTTGGGACTGAATCCAGTAACATAGCCAGACCCGTTACTTTAAAATCAATTTGCTCTGTGGAGAGTTAACAGACCGAACATGTTTCTCCCATATTCCCGACATAGAAACAGTAATTCATTATCTCTCTGGCATTTACTGGAACTGCCGTTATTACCCTTGCGACAGTAAACACAAGAGACATACAAAGTCCATCCGACAGACAAGAGCGAAGTCCGGCCGAGTGTATCAAGTCCCGTATAAAACACATGCAGCACTGTTAGGTCTTGAAACAGTACTTTTTAACCTTTAAACGCCGGACTTCGAAATAGTGGTAAACTTGAGCTGGCAGGAGTTTATTTAAATGCCCGCTGCTGGTGCTCATTTAAATGTCCGTTCCTGTTAGGCGGTTAATCAATTTTAAGCGTTGTGTTTAAAAATGCTGTATCTAGCACAATTTTTATGATAAATGGATGGAATTAACTTTGTTTATATCAGCAAAGAACATAGTGTCGCATATTATAACGGAAGATTTGAAATTTTTAATACAAAGTGTTATACTCTATTTTCAATTTTTTGTGTTTTAATTTTGATGCGTACTGCAAAAATTGTTTCCCAGTTCTTCACAGAGTTGTTCTGCATTATAAATTCATTTCTGTTTGTAACACTTGACAAATTTTAGCAGTCCCTGGTGTCATAAAACAGATGGAAGCAATAAAATCATTTGGCCTTCTGCTAGCACTGCTTACACCCTTCGGATTTTCGAATCTTTGACTGAAGGTCAGAAGAATGAAAGAATGGCTATTCAAGAGAAAGCTAGAGGGGTCCCTTCTTCAGTGCTAAAACCTTCCGTTAGAACTGCAAAAGCTTATTGCCCCTTCTATTTGAGTGAACAGACAGCTGCATCGTGGCTGAGATACAGAGCGCGATCTGTTTTGTGTGCGTTCGTAGTGAAATTGAATATGGTAGTTTTATATACATCAAGCAGGTAACAACAAAAAAGGTATGTACATCAAATTTTACAATATATTTTTAACATACCTATCTGCAGAATCTGCAATAAAATTACTGGATCGTGGATAAGTTTTGGCATAACTCATACGTATATTTTTATTTGCTGTTGTTCAGTTAGGTATTATTTTAATTCCTCTATTAGGGTTTTACTCAAGTCTGTCTGGTAATTACTGCATTTGAAAATAAATATTTAGGAATGTGCGCGCGCTTCCACTAGCGGAGTTTAAATGCCTGACTGGCCAAAACTGGGTACTTTGGCCACGACGACCTTACTCATGACTGGCACAAACTGGGCACTTCGGCACTTAGACTACTGTAAGGCCGCGCCATAGCTCAAGCGGTTAGTCGCTGGCTTCCCACCGCGGCGGCCCGGGTTTGATCCCGGGTCTGGTCAAATGGGACTTGTGGTGGACAAAGTGGCGCTGGGGCAGGTTTTCTCCGAGTACTTCGGTTTCCCCTGCCGATCTTCATTCCACCAGTTGCTCCACAATCACCCTCACCTATCATCTGGGGCTGGTACAATAGGCCAGAAGTGGCCGCAGTACAAGGGACTTAGTCTCACCCCACTAGCAATAAAAGAAAAAGATGACTGTATTCTGGAGTATGACGTCAAATGATCTAATGGATCATTACTAACGTTTCGGAAGAATGTACAGTGTACTTGTACCCTGAAGATGGAGGCAGCACGTTCTTTCCGAAATCTACCAAACTGCACCGAGTCACGTCCTATAAGGCAGTAATGTTGATAGTCACTGCTATGTAAACCTCAGATATTCTATATGTTTCTACATGTAATTTTGCGGATCGTTCAATTGTACGTTGTGGACAAAGTCTGAAATGTTTATAAAATGACAGTTATTGATGAATAAAATTATTGTAAAAAAGAATGTTTAAAGAGACTGGAATAAAAAGCATGCATAAATACAGCTGTATAAATAATTACAAAATGCCCATGTTGATCTTCAGATTACAGATGTTTGATTGTTTCGAGTGGTGATCGGAAAAGTCAGGGGAGAAAGAGCAGTGAATGATTTCAGTTCAGTACGGGATACTGGCATGTGTAAAATACAGAAAACATAATCTGCATATAAAGCAATAGACTGTGAAATATAATTATTATACGTAAAATACAATTTTAATTTATAAATGTTATTCGACTACACCGCAACATTTCTGTCAATACATATGTGTGTTAGGGGTTACGCGGTACCGTAGTTGGTTCAGGCACTATGCTACAAGCCGGAAGGTCGCGGGTTCGATTCCCAATGAGGTGGATTTTTTCAGTTTGCATAATCCTTCCAGCCGGACTGTGGCCCTGGGGTCCACTCAGAGTCTAACAGAAATGAGTACCAGGAATATTCCGGGGNGGTAAAGGGTGGCCGACGCGAAAGGCTGACAACCTTAAGGCCATCTGTGAGCCGATTGTCTAGAGAAAATGTGGGAGCCTCGACGTCTCACAACCCTATGGGCCTCCACGGCCTATTACAGGGATAGCTTTACATTTTTTTTACTGTGTAATAATAACGCCAAATGAAATAGGCTAAGCTTAATACTGAACGGCCAAAACTTGTCGGGTGTGATATTACACGTACGTAATAAACAGCTTAATTGATGGTGAGATTATAATACCTATTTAATGAATAAAATGAGTATAATGGGTACTAATAACATAATTAAAAATGTCACCTCATATTTATTAATGTTATATTTATCCATAGTTTTATTCCGTAAAATTTTATTTATTAATTTTTCTTCGAATCTATTCTTACAGGAGCCAAGGTAAACGCTTTTGCCCGGGAACCTCACATGCATAAAGTCTGAAGAATTCACGTCCACTCTATATATGCCTGTGTTATTGCGATCTCACATTTGTGCCCCTGTATGTTCGCGTTTAAAGCTTAATGTTATAAGCAAACTTGCTGCTCGCTTTTTGTTTCTTGCTTGCGTGTCTTCGACCGTGAAGATGGAGGTAGTACGTTCCTACGAAACGTTAGTGAATTTCTACCGGACTACAGGGCGTCACATCCCGGAATATAGTACTATTCGTAATCGTAGTTTGGTTTGCATAAGTAATAAGGAAGCTTTCCCTGAAATTTATTAGTAGAACGGGAATTACAGTAGTTAGAAACCATAAATTTTCGAGGCAATACAGCACCGCATAAAGAACCCTTCCGACCCGCCACCCCTCCACCATTTTTCATGAAGGCGATAACAATCGGTGTACAAAATGCCCCCTGTGTACATTATGAGGGACAATGTATGTATAAAAGATTTGACTGACTTAACGTCACAAAATAAAGTAAAGTAAAGGTATCCCTGTAAGAGGCCGTGGTGGCCCATAGAGTTGTGAGATGTTGAGGTTCCCACATTTTCTAGACAGTCGGCTCATGGATGTCGGTAAGGCTGTCAGCCCTACGCGCCGGCCGCCCTTTACCCCCAATAATGTTCCTGGTACTCATTTCTGTTAGAGGCTGAGTCGACCCCAGGGCCATAGTGCGGTTGGAAGGATTAGGTTAATTAAAAAATCCAGTGACCTCATCGGGAATTGAACCAGCGACCTTCCGGCTTGTAGCATAGTGCCTCAACCAACTACGCTACCATGTGCCCCCTACTTAACGTCATAAGGAAATTAAAAAAAAATATTTAGATATAAGGTCGTTCATTGATGTATATTTTTGTATTTTATGACGCTGTCTTATCTGTAGAACTTTTATGAGTGTGAGATGCGATACTGTTCATGACTAGCTATGAGGAAGGTTCTTTATAGGTAAATGTGAGCATTAACGCGGAGAGAGGGATGAGAAGGGGCCATTATGACCTGTAATCCGGCCAAGACGCGAACTCGATATGTCTCGTTTTCGGTCCAGGGCTTTGTCTTTACATCATTCAGCTCTGATGTATGTCTTATCGCACTAGCGACCCATCAGAAAGGAGTGATAGGGATACTGGCTTAGTAACTTGTCTTAAACTTTCCATGTTCAAAAATGAAAATAATTGGATGTAAATAATTTATATTATTAATATGTATATATCAGATGCCTTATATCAGATTTTGAGATTTACACGGCCTTGAAACTGTACATCGCTGCCTTCTGGGTTGTGACACAGTGTAATCTGGTGGGTGGTTACCGACGTTTCGGAGAAACCTACTGCTTTCAATCTCCGCTATCCTGAAAATCGAGGCAGCAGATTCCACTGAAAGTTTGGGAGCCATCTTGTACAGAAAGAAACCCTGAGTGATTCAAATTCATATTTTAAAATTTGTTAGATTTTCCTTGTGTCAGACTTGTTCCAATGTCTAATGAAGGGTGCAGTATGCAACTTAAATTATGTAAGAATATAGTGATTACAGTACATGATTTATAGGAATAAGTACTACATTGTGAGTACCCGCGAGTCTATAAGAGTAGCTTTAGAAAACTGTCTATGCGTGTATTTGTTTTACTGTGTGTACTGGTGCTTTCAGTTTTCCCGTGTTAATTAAAATTTCAGAATATTTTGGACGCGAAAGTTAACAAAATATGGCCATCTTATCGCAAAAATATCTACGAAGAGTTTTCTTAAATTTCACCCGTTTAAAGAAAGCGGAATCTTAAATAACACTCCATACGTCAAATTTCTCTCCAAATAAGGTACTGACTTGCAGTAATTTTCTTGTCAGCACGTAAAATAAATATAAAAGAAAGATATATCGTATTTTTCGCCCTTTATTAGTAATAAAGAAAGATGTCCATAAAAATATCCCCATGGCAACACAACATTTTTGTTTGTAATTGGTGAAAAGCTAAGTTTTCATTTTTTGTTTCGATATGGTCAACTCTATCCACATGCTATTTGTGGGACTTTAATTCACATTAGAAATAATGCAGTAAAGGAACAGTGGTCTCAACAACTGAAGAATCATGCTCTCCTGGTTGTAAATAGTTCTTAATTATATTTCTAAAATAACCATAATGGCTGGGTGTTCCTATCTTCCTGAAGGACATTTTGAAAATATTTCTTTTATTTTCTAAAGGGTTCTGACACTGGTGTATAATACTCAGAATTACCGTGATTTTGGACTTTGTCCACCATCCGGTATTCTAGAAAACTATAAAACCCAACGTTTCGGAAAACGAACAATGGACAAAGTCCGAAAACCCAGTTAATTCTTTTGTTTTCTTGACACATTCGTAGTACTTGAATTGAACTATATTACTTTAATTACATTTGAAGCGAGCATAGCTTTACTAAACGTTATTATTATTTTAATCAAAAGATTTTATGCAAATTTGGAACAATTTAGGTCACACGTATCACTTTCCGTGAAATATATTAATTAAAACTTTTGAATTTTGTAAAAATTGCTGTTACGGTATCCTTTAGGTTCGAAAGCAGGAGTAAATAACAGTTAAATGATTACATATGTACATGCATAGACGTTATCGGTTATGTACAGTACCTTCCAATGAGAAATTGATGTGTTGCCTGAGCCTTCAAGTGGATGGGCAGGTAGATTGTTGTAAGTGCTAGCAAGGTGTTAGCCGGGCTGTGCGAACTAACAGGAGTTCGTTCGATTTGATCCACTCTGTGACCCAGGTTTCTTGATACGCATGCGTGGGTTTGGGAGATCAGCGAATCGGAGGCACAAACTTGATATTTTGTGTGGGTGTTTTCACCCCTTCGTGTCTTACACTAGAAATAGGAAATAGAATATGGAGGTGGAATGACAATGTGAGACTATTATTGTATATCAAACAGTACGAAAATGTAAAAAATTGTTATTGGAAGGTGTGTATTCGCTTTGGCTTTTGACATTCATGTAGAAATATACGATGAAAGCATGCAGACTAATGAATAATTTAGGTAGATTCTTGGAACAGTATATGTAGAAATCTAGGGTCACCTTTCGGACTACTCCATCGGGGTCTAATATGTATGTATATTGTTTGTGTGTTCCATATTTCCTTTCAAGCATGTCATTTTAATGATAAACCCATTATAACACTCTGCTTTACTCTGACAGTTTTTAATTAAGTTTACATTGCGTGTTATAAATCGGTATTGCGTTATATTCAATAAGTAAATGACATTTATTTGAAATCATCAATGACTCTGTGACGGAAGGAGAAGTTTTCAGGAGAAAATTTAATCAACTTGGCACTGGAACTGAGTTCCCCAACTTATATAGGACAGTAGTTAGAAATGTTTTCAAGTTCGTTTGGCTAGAAGTGTGTTAATATCATGCCGTATAGTATTGTTAAATAACTGACGTTAATTAATTTTCTGATTGCTTAATAGTAAACACAAACATATTTTTGTAATTATAATTTTGGCAACAGTAAGAACAGACTACAGATCGGTATAATTACCCCGAAGCATGTATCTTCTGAGAGTGATAACTGAGAACCTTAATGTGCCTTTTTAATGTTCTCTGATTTTAATGACATGAAACTTATTTCTTTATGTGATGTGTTTATACCTCTGCCGTACAAATTTAGGAATGTGAGTCAGGAGTTTAGGTGTATAACTGATTTATAAACCAATTTCTATCACTCAGTTTTACTGCAATACTTATGATGGTAATTAATAACAGAGTTGCTATGGTGTTTTAAATAATAAAGGTCCGTGACGTAATATGATGTAAATATCCGATAATAAAGCGAAGGGAGTGATGCAAAACAAACTTCGTGGACTGTAGTCCGCAAGCGAAGTATATCGACCGAGCGACCGCCGCTTGTCATCGAAGTTAGTGCCAATTTTTGCGGATAGAGGGTGTCACGTGGTCAGCGCAACGGATCCCCACGGCCGTTATTATCGGCTTTCTAGACCGGAAAGGGAGTGATGCAATTCATGAAAAATTTGAGACAACCGTTGTCGGGATCGTCGGGATTTTCACTGCTCCCTACGCGAATGCAACTAAGACGCTGTTACTGAGATGATTGTAAATTAATGTTTTGGTTATTAATGTGGTTTCGTAGTGCAAGTGCTCGAGACAGACAATTGTATACTCCGAGCATCTCACCTGTACGGCGGTCCCATGTTAGACAGGTCCAGGATTAAGTCTTCTCAAACATAAGTTTTGTTCACAGACATGTGATATTTTTATCTGCAGCAGAAGAATGACCGTCCTATTCGATGTGTCATAAAGATAAGAATACGAGTAACAACAATAAGACTTAAGATAACGCAGAAGAACTGGAGAATTAAATCATATTAGTCCACACAGCGATTAAGAAATTTATTCCTCGTATATAAAATCGTTATAGTGATTAAATGAAGGAGGATGATAAGGGATGGGCATGTAGCACGCAATGAGAAATAAGTACATCTATAATTTATATTAGAAGACCTCATAGAAAGACCACTTCCTAGTCCAAGGTTTAGTGAGTGAGTGAGATGAATAAACTGTTAAACTTAGTGTCTATTATCTCGGGGGGGGGGGCACGCTGTATC